CCCCACCTCCTGCCTGCACCCACATACCCAGACATTGACCCTCTCCCCCACCTCCTGCCAGCACCCACATACCCAGACATTGACCCTCTCCCCCACCTCCTGCCTGCACCCACATACCCAGACATTGACCCTCTCCCCACCTCTGACCCTCTCCCCCACCTCCTGCCTGCACCCACATACCCAGACATTGACCCTCTCCCCCACCTCCTGCCCGCACCCACATACCCAGACAGCAGTGCCTCCTGACCGGCAGTGATAGTTTATTGCTGGACACAGCCTGTACCTTGCTCAGCCTCCTTCTCTCTGAATCTGCAGCTCTAGCTACATTCAAACTGCGCGCTACAGCCAATCACACGCCACGGCACCAACTATTGGTCACGTTCACACCGCCCCCTCTTCAACTCACCAATGGCAGGGCACCGACTCCAGAAGACGAGCTCAGCCACAATTAGTGTACTTATTCCCAGCGGACCAATCAGAAATCGCATAGGAGCAAGGCCAAACTCTATTAGCTGAAAGTCACGTCAATCACTTTTGAGTCAGTAAAGAGGCGTGGCTGGCAAGCTGCCCGCCATCTTGTTGGAGCTCAGTGGAGTAGTTAACCTTTTTTATCTATTGTCCTGGTTCTAATGTGATTAAATTCAGTCCCCGAGTAATCCCTTCCTTTGTGTGATGTGTGTTTGACTGCCATTCCTCAGGTTCATTGTATATATATATATATATATATATATAACATGTTAGGGCTGGGATAATAATCCAGAATGGATGTACCTGATTCTGTTGTTCCCTAAACTTCCATTTGCAATGAATTAAAATGGCAAAATTTAGGATAAAGTAGTTGATCTGGAAAATATTCCCAAACGGCTATAGTCTCAACCATCTTAGCAACGTTTGCCTCAATTTCATAATTCAAATGTTATTTTGCTACGGAGTTTTGTGAACAAACCCCCAAGAATTATTCAGTATGTTTACGGAAGACTGTAGCGTTAAGAGTACAAACGTATTCTGAACCCAAGACTGTTATACTAGCTATTTAGATTTCTGGTAATCAAAACATTATTAAATAAATAGAATTACTTTCCGTATTTTCCCTGGTGCAGGTCTCACCGCTGCTGCCACGCCTCTTCTTGCTGAGATCATCAATACTAATGATCTAAGCCGAACCAATGCTTCCTCACAGGGAAGCATTGGGGGGCTCGTGCACATGTGTGGCAGTCACCTATCTATGGGTTTCAGCGTCACCATGCTGAGCATGGAGATTCCAAAAAGCAATCATGCAATCTCTGCAGGACGTGCTCGCATTAGTACATTCCCCATAGGAAAGCATGTATGCTTACATGATGCTGGATATCCACAGTGCACACTAACGGAAGACGTGAAATATGCACACAATTGATATTAGGCAGCCCGGAACATAGTCCTAGTCTACCTAAGTCACATGTGACGTGGGTGTAACTAGCCCCTGGCACACAAGTGCGAATTACTCTGAATCAAGGAGAAACAGTGGATCGAGTAAACCTTTAATTTTAAGGGACCACTCTAGGCACCCAGACCACTTCAGCTTAATGAAGTGGTCTGGGTGCCAGGCGGATAGCTCCCCGCCCGGTGCTGGAGAAAGGTAGGTTTTAACCCCTTTCCTCTCCCCAGAGCCGGGCGGGAGGGGGACCCTGAGGGTTAGGGCACCCTCAGGGCACTATAGTGCCAGGAAAACGAGTATGTTTTCCTGACACTATAGTGGTCCTTTAAGGGTGTGAGTTGTGGTGTGGCAAGGGGAGGCTCTTCTGAGTAATATTAGGCGACATATTAATACCAATTTATCCAACTAAAATTTAGAACAAGAACAATGTATTGTATTTACACAGATTGATTTCTAAACACATTTATTCTGGGAATATTATTGACGTGGAGCTCTGTTATACGCAGAGACACACCAACAATATGGAGCTCCTAGAAAAGAGGCATTTAGGCCCAAAAATGGGACTGGTCCTTGTAAATAGGGACACATGGGAGGTATGCTACGGCACGACACATGGGAGGTATGCTACGGCACGACACATAGTGGTGGACATGACAAACCAAGTCTCTTGTCTCCCCATGTCCTGCTGCTGCCCTATATGATTCCATTAATCAAGGCAGGATTGGGAATGAAATGCAGTGGGAAAACATTTACACCAGCAGAATAATGCGTTGCATTAGCATAATGTGCAGATATAGTGGCTAAAAAGATAACTAAAAACTATTACTCTAACGTAAAGAAAAGCACTCATAGGGCTTCAATATATATAAACAAGCAAATTTATTTTAAGCAGAGGTGCACATTTGCATATAATCAATGTTTCAGTCCAACTACCTTGACATATTAAGAAAGGTTTGGTAATGGGACTGAAATGGTGAATATATGCTGTTGCACAGCTGAAAAAACTGACGTTATCTTGTTTACTTTGGAGTCCTGTGAGTGTGTTCTTCAACTTGGATGAGATCATCAAACTTGATCTCAGCCAATCCAATGCTTTCCCATAGGGAAGCAATAGGAGGCTATTGTGTATGTGTGGCAAAATGCTGCACCATGCCACAACAATCAGCATCTCCTCATAGAAATACATTGAATCAGTGCCTCCATGCAGAGCGTGGAAACCCTTAACCCCTTAAGACCGGAGGGCGTACTATTACACCCTATTTTAAGCGGCTCTAAACGCCGCCGGGCGTAATAGTACGCCCTCCGGTCTTTCTGTACTTACCCGGTCGCCGGCGATCCCACGCCGGCGATGGCGGTTGGGGGGACACCCAGGGAGCCCCCCCCCCGCCATGTGAGAGTGAGGTCCTTGCGAGCACCCCACAATCACATGGCCGGGTAGGCTGCCTCCTGCATTGCCAGCAGGGGGGCTGCCTGTAATGTCAGGTGGTCCCCCTGCTAGCTGAAAATAAAAATAAAATTCAATTAAAAAAAGTTAAAAGTGTAAAAAAATAATAATATATACTTAGATCATATATATATATTATATATATATATGATCTCAGTATATATATACACACATATACATACACCCACGTACACTGTCTAGGTGTATTTTACTATTAATATATATATAATTATATATATATATATATATTAATATCAAATTACACGTAGACTGATACTGATTAAATATATATATATAATTATTGTTATATATATATATATTTATATATAATATAAAAAAATTAAATATGTAAATACGTTAAAAAATAAAATAATAAAAAAATAATAAAAAAATATATAGATGTGTGTTATTTTGTTCTAACTGTTTTGTGATATTAATATATATATATTTATATCAAAATACACGTAAAACGAAATAATATATATATACATAAATATATATGTATATATCACTATATATATATATATATACCTATATATAAATAAAAATATTTTAAAAAAATTATATATATATATATATATATATATATATATATATATATACATATATATTCACATACGTATATATATCCACATATATTAATTCTACATATAATTTTACATAATTGGGTATCTAAATTAATTACAATTAGCGGGACCTTCCTGACAACCAATGCCGAAAGTAAAGGGAATTTAATTTGCTAGCACTATATTTAACCCTATAACTTTCCAAGACACCATAAAACCTGTACATGGGGAGTACTGTTCTACTCGGGGGACTTCGCTGAACACAAATATTAGTGTTTTAAAACAGTAAAATGTATTACAACGATGATATCGCCAGTAAAAGTGGCGTTTTTTGCATTTTTCACGCACAAACAGCACTTACACGGAAGATATTATTCCTGCGATACTTTTTACTGTTTTGAAACACAAATATTTGTGTTCAGCGAAGTCTCCCGAGTACAACCGTACCCCTCATGTACAGGTTTTATGGTGTTTTCAAAAGTTATAGCGTCAAATATAAGGCTTGTGTTTCATTTTTTTTCACATTAAAATCCACGTGTCGCACTCCCCAGCCCCTCCATGTGTTTTATCCCCACTTACAGCCCTTCCATGTGATTATTCCTCCTCAGCCACTCCATGTGTCCCATCCCCCCCACCGCCCACAGACCTTCCATGTGTCTCACTTCCCCACCCTCTCAGCTCCTCCATGTGTCGTTGACCCCCCCAGCCCCTTCATGTGTCTCATTATCTTCCTCCCTTTACCTTATTGTCGCGTGACCGAGCCGCGGACTGCAGTGGATGAGCTTCTGTTCCACTTCCCCGTCGGACAGGAAGCAATTTAGCAGTTCGGTGCTCATTAAGAGCACCTCCTGTCAGGCCAGGGAAAGGAATAAAAGCTCCTCCACCGCGGTCCGCAGCTTGGCCATGCTGCGTGCAGTGACTGGCAGGAGGGGAGCGATTTGCCTCCTGACAATCACCGGGCGATTGCGCCCCCTGGGCTGGTGTGCCATAGGCGGCTGTGCACTCACCCAAAGGTATGCCGGCCCACCTGAAATTTTCCTGGTATCCCGGTGGGCTAGTCCGGTTTTGCCATTCATTGACTGAGACATGCTACCCACAGTATTGCTCAGTGACCCTGTGAATTTCAAATGTGAAAATAACCAAACTGTTAAAATTCTCTGTCAGCTCTGCTTTCAGTTCAGCTACTCACCCTGCTCTCTGACTTGAGTAACTAACTCTTTATAAAGTGATATTAACTACAATGGTTTGATGAAATGATGAGTGTCTGGGTGTTTGCTGCCCTCACTAAACATGGCCGCCAGTGAATCACGACTCGGCACGTGACCCGGTGTGCGGACGGCGCATGCGCCCTGCCGCCTCCCTGCTCGGTCTGTCACCCCGGAGACTGGGGAGCGGCGGACAGACAGACAGGCACCGGAAGCGGAAACGGAGTGTAGCTTGAGCCGGAGTCATGGCTGACATGAAGGATGCGCTACTGTCTGTGCTGCCGACTATCCGGGTCCCCCGGGCTGGAGACCGAGTGCACAAGGATGAGTGCGCCTTCTCCTTCCACACACCGGTATATCTCTATTACAGCCCCCCATAGTGACCGTACCCCTAATATCTCTATTACAGCCCCCCATAGTGACCGTACCCCTAATATCTCTATTATAGCCCCCCATAGTGACCGTACCTCTAATATATCTATTACAGCCCCCATAGTGACCGTACCCCTAATATATCTATTACAGCCCCCCCATAGTGACCCTACACCTAATATATCTATTATAGCCCCCCATAGTGACCGTACACCTAATATATCTATTATAGCCCCCCATAGTGACCCTACACCTAATATATCTATTACAGCCCCCTCATAGTGACCCTACACCTAATATATCTATTATAGCCCCCCATAGTGACCGTACACCTAATATATCTATTATAGCCCCACATAGTGACCATACACCTAATATATCTATTACAGCCCCCCATAGTGACCCTAAAACTAATATATCTATTACAGCCCCACATAGTGACCGTACACCTAATATATCTATTACAGCCCCCCATAGTGACCCTACTCCTAATATGTCTATTATAGCCCCCCATAGTGACCGTACACCTAATATATCTATTACATCCCCCCATAGTGACCGTACACCTAATATATCTATTACATCCCCCCATAGTGACCATACACCTAATATATCTATTACAGCCCCCCCATAGTGACCCTACACCTAATATATCTATTACAGCCCCCCATAGTGACCCTACACCTAATATATCTATTACAGCCCCCCCATAGTGACCCTACACCTAATATATCTATTATAGCCCCCCATAGTGACCGTACACCTAATATGGATTACGGGATAAAACTTACCAGGAAAGGTTAAAGGATCTTAACATGGATAGCTTGGAGGAAAGACGAGACAGGGGAGATATGATAGAAACATTTAAATATATAAAGGGAATCAACACAGTAAAGGAGGAGACTGTATTTAAAAGAAGAAAAACTACCACAACAAGAGGACATAGTCTTAAATTAGAGGGACAAAGGTTTAAAAATATCAGGAAGTATTACTTTACTGAGAGGGTAGTGGATGCATGGAATAGCCTTCCAGCTGAAGTGGTAGAGGTTAACACAGTAAAGGAGTTTAAGCATGCGTGGGATAGGCATAAGGCTAGTGACTAATGAAAGTATTTAGAAAATTGGGCAGACTAGATGGGCCGAATGGTTCTTATCTGCCGTCACATTCTATGTTTATTACAGCCCCACATAGTGACCGTATACCGAATATATTTGTTGCTGCCCCCCATACTGGCTGTACAGAGACCCCCAGCACCTCTTTTCATACTGGCAGTTGTAAAGAGCCCCAATACCCCATCATACTGGCCTTACACCCTAAATATCTATTATAGTCCCCCCATACTGAATGTACAGAGACCCCCAACACCCACCTTATACAGGCCATTATAGAGTCCCCCAATACCTCTTCATACTGGCAGTTATAGAGACCCCAATACATCATTATTAAAAACCCTCAGCCCCCTCCTAATGTTGGCTCCTATAGACACACCCAGCACTCATTTATACTGAGACATAACCCAGCTCTTCTCTTCCCCCTTTACTCACACTCTCAGAGGTCCTCCTGTCCCTTTATGTTCGCACAACCCTCCTGGTAATACTGGAACTTAAAAAGACTCCCTCATTGTAGAGTCACTTCTAAACTCCCCCACCCTCCTTTTATACAGGCACTTATATGTCTGAATCATTCTTATTATAAAGCCACTTAAAAACGCTTCAAGTCTTCTTGTTTTAGTGCCACTTGTAGACCCCCTCACCTCTCCTCAAGACTCTCAGACGTCCTCTTCATATGGTCACTATATAGGATCTCAACCATCCTATTTGTATTCAGCCATCTATATGGAAATCCCCACAATTTACCTAATGCACAGACTTGTAAAACGTCCAGCTATCATGTTGCTGCTTGTAGAAACATCCAGCTCTTGAAATTGACAACTCGTCTAAGTCAACTAGTCATTTCTCACTTCCCCATCACCTAATTATAGAAAATAGTCTTCGTAATCTAACCCTTCCATATATCCAGCTACAAAACATTCCCCCATAGTTACCTATAGGAGGTGATTTACCTATTAAACCATTTGTAGGAGACTCACTTTTGTATACAGATGCTCAGAGATCATGCTCCTACACATATAGCCAATACACAAATGTGGCACTGGCTATATGTGCAGGAGCAAATGTGAGTCCTCATACAGTCATCTATAGAACACTTTGGCGCAGTCCTCCATATCTCAAAGCCAGATATAATACTTGCTCTCTACCCTCTTGTTTCATTAGCTTAATCATTATTATGGAGATTATTATATGGAAATAGTTTTATATTCATTTGTCCCTTTTTATTATTTACATAGATATGGTTTCCAAAAAAGACACACAATGCTTTCACAAAAACAACAACTTTGCAGCCACGAATTCAATTATCCACAAATATAATCTAGTTTCTAATACTAATCCAATGCATCATGTCACGGTTCCTATAGCAGGGCTCAAAATTTCTACTAGATATTGGCAAGTGAAAATTAGCCATGGCAAGTAGAAATTCACCCCTGGTGAATATGCTTTTGGCTTGCTGTTGTGAGTAACATTAAGACATGTCTCTGTAAGCATGCATAGAACATATGTTCTTTTATATCCACAGTTTCCTGTACACATTCTTTATGCCGACGTGCTGCCGTTCAGAATATAGTGCTTATATGCTGCAGGAAGCAAATAATTGATATTTATTATGGATGCTTTCCCTCCTGTAGAAAATAAATATTGCAGGACAGTATTTTTCATGTTCTATCCAACAGCATGAAGATGTGATGGGCCCCCAGGAAAACAGCAGATGAGGAACTCTCCTAAACAATTACCTATCTTTAATAGAACAATCAACATCACTTTCATAAACTGTCCTTCAGCACCCGCCCTATTATTGGACTTATTTTTTTTTATTTTTTAGTACACAGTGCTATACCAAGCCTTCTATAGAACCTCTAATCCATATTTACACGGCTACATAAAAACGTCCTTCTTGGCTATCAAAAATGTAATATTTTGCTTATCAAAGCAATGTATAGCATATTCCCACCTTTAGACAATTCTACCTGTGACACATACTTAACTAAATCACCTCTTTAAGAAACTTCTCACTCTCCGTTGACCTGCAGACATCAATATCAAAGTATCACCTACAACCCCCCCCCCCATCTTCACACATCATTTATTCCCTTCTCATCTACACATCTAAAGGACCTACCCCTTGCTGCATGCTTATCTATGGATTCTTTATATCCAGCTATGCATACCATACAACCTTCTAATATGTCCACCTCTCATCTCCCCCCTCCCTGTTCTTCATCTGTATTAAACACTGTAGTATTTGTGCATACACTGCGGTTTCTGAGCTTAGAAAATTACTTGTAAAAATAGTTAACAGTGTTGCCTTTGTTAGTATTTGTGTATGTATGTGTGTGTGTGTATATATATATATATATGTATATATATATATATATATATAGTATTTTTTTTTTAGTTATGACCCTGAACAATTATTAATTTACGTGTTTGTTCTGTAGGAATCAGACACTGGTCTGTACATCTGTATGAACACATTTCTGGGATTTGGAAGACCATTTGTAGAGCGTTACTTTAACAAGACCGGCCAGAGAGCCTTCCTTCACTTCAAGCGAATCCCTAAACCGGTATGATTCTGAGTGACTCTTGCACATACAGTTGTGTTGGGGTTCTACTGGTCATTGTGTCCTTGCACGATGAGAAATGATGTACATAACACCAGTGGGTTTGTAAGACCTTGGAACAGTTCAGCTTACCACCATTTCTGCCTGTGTGATTAATGAAAGCGGTCATATGGGACCCAATATAAATCTACATTGTCAATTGATGTTCTTATTTATTAAATTGGGAAATTTGGAAAATTGACAATGAAATTCCAAATTTATGCCCCAAAAATAGCAGAACTGGAGTGAATAGACGTGTTTAGTCCATTTATTCAACCGGTCAACAATGCACCATATATTCTCTTTTTATATGTTAACTGCAGATTCATGTTGATGTGTGTGAGCCAGGATACATTGGATTTATATTTAAATCTATTTAAATTACTTGTCAGTAAAACTGTTTAAATCATGATTTTTTTTTTTTAAACTTAAAAACTTGCTGGTTGTTATAATCTTGAAATTTTGCAACCAGGTGAAGATGTCATGTGTAGAATAATAATGTTTCTGATTAAACAGTTGTATCAGAACTGATTTTGTTATACCATTATAAATACATAGATAATGATACAATTATTGCAAGATGCTCTGTCACCAGTTTAATATTTTAATTACTTGTATTTGGAGAACAACCTAAATTAAAGATGTGTACATATATTATGTGTACATACATTAGTAAGAATCTATAGTGTAAGGAATACAAAGCCACTATATTTATTTAAATGGAACTAAAATAGAAAAATCTTCATAATAAATAGAATAATAGAAATAATAATAGAAATAGAATATTTACTCAACTTTTGTAGCTAAAAAACAAAACAGTATTTCATATTTATTTGGGAGTTCACAAAATACTCCAAGCAGTATGAATAATTGTGCTTTATTTTGCATAAAAAGAGCAATATATAGCAGACAAAGATGCAAATGCATAGAGCATCTTTAGAAGAGGGATAAGGAGAGGGGTGGCAGAAAAGCAAGTGCGTGTGCTTTGTGAAGTATCTCTTAAAACATAATGTAATGTAAAAGTTGCCTAACAAGTAACGTTGCAAGGTTGAACGATACCAATTAAATAGTACTCTGGTGGTGTTAGAAATATTTATTGCACAGCTGTATTAAAGGAACTCTCCAAGCTACTCTTATGTAGCCAGGAGTGCCCTGGCACCCCCTCCCCTAATGTAAGTACTCATGCCATTTAACGGTTTGGCAACTTACTTGTGGTCTGGCAGGTGCCATTTAACTCCTTTAGGAGAGCCAAAGGCTCTCTGCTATAATCTAATTCTGACAGTTCAGGGCTTTGCTTATTGATTGAGAGGGACCAGCTGAAGATACACCATTTACTGGAGTTAAGTGGGTTGGAAGATTGGAGGTGAATGGTTTGGTGGACCTGAAGGAGAGTGGGTTGGAGAACAGTCTATCTGTAAAATAGTTAGAGAAGTGAGATGATAAGTCCTAATAAATGTTTGTCACTTTTGTATTTTCCAGAAATCTGATGACTCCAGTTCTAGTGGAGATCCTCCCCGCAAGAAGCCAACACGTCTAGCAATAGGTAGGCACTTGATACAGTGTGTATCTCATTTCTGGAGTTTGTATAAATCAGTGAGTGGATTATAGTCTCATCTAGCATGTGCTTGACTCACCTCTGTGCTCTTTTTTTTTTTCCCTTACCGAATCTCTAGGAATGGAGGGTGGATTTGATATGGCTGAGGATCAGTGTGAATATGAGGAGATGGTGAAGTTAGTTATTCTACCCGAGTTCTTGGAGATTCAGCGAGAAGAGCTGTTGGAGCTTCCAGAGATGGTCAGGGATCGGGTGGGTAATATGAACTGAGAAGTGTATATTGAGCTTGTGAAGAAAATAGACTTAGTTTTGGCATTTTCTTCTGTGTTCGTGACTTTCTGCAACATTTATTTTTTTGGATTTATTGGTTCGGCAGTTTAAAAACTACCGAACATCGACCACCCTCCTGGCTCATTAACTTCAAAGAGAACTGTCTATTAAGTGCTCTCTGGGCGGCCGTCGTTCATATAGCCAAATGCCACGTGGAACAGAAAATGGCGACCATCTTGTTTGCACGAAAGGAGGCAGCGGGACTTGGTCGTCGAGTGTCTGGAAGTAAAATCGGACACTCGACTTCCCGAACCACCACTGAAACATAGAATGCCTGCTTCCTTTTGTTGCCGAACAGCCAGGAGAGCACCATTCGGTAGTTTGCTTCATACGAACAAGGGGAGCAATCGCTCCTATGAGCCAGGAGGATCCATTCGTGACTTTATTTGTTTTTATGCCATTATTTGAATTGACCGACCGCACACGCTGAATTCGTGGAACTGTTTTGGGCAGGAGCCTCGTGTGTGGTCGGTAAATTATGACTTCCATACGTTTTGAGAACCCCTGAACCGATCTGGGGTGTTCTAAGTTTTGGGGAAATTGTGTGCTCTCTGCCTGGAGATAATTGGGTTATTCCTTAACTTATCTCAATATCTCCCAGGCAGAGAGAGGGAGTGTGTTACTGTAAACATGTACTCACATTGGTTATTTCCTTTGTTTACTGTGGGAGGTCCTCTTGCAGGAGGATTCCCATAAACGCCAGTGTGGCATCAATAAAACATTATTCCTGTTACACCCTTCATGAATTCTAGGCTCATGCTTGGGGAGTATTTTACTTGCTGAGGAGAATCGTCTTGGAAGCTGCATTCATCTACACTATTTCTCTACACCATAACTGCAATTATAATCACTTATGCTCAGCTATTGGGAAAGGAATAGAAGACCGCAGTACCATAACCAGTGCAGATCTTAACAGCGCTGCAGCTTTTTCCCCTGTTGTTCATAATATTCATTTGTAGGAGTCTGGTTTGCTTTTTAATCTGTTCTGTTCCTTTCAGGTAACTTCTGCCATTGAAGCCATCTTATCTGCTGACTCTGCATCGCGTAAACAGGAGATTCAGGCTTGGGATGGGGAGGTGAGGCAGGTCTCAAAACATGCATTCAACCTTCCACAACTTGAAGGAGTTCCCCGGATTCCTCCTTGGTATGTGACAACTTTGATAATCCGATAAGCATCTATTTCCTTTTTTCTGAATTATTTTGTCTCTTACATACTTTCTCTCCGTTCCCCACCATGTGTTCTCTTCTGATTTTTTTTTTTTTTTTTGCCACACTTTGTTAGCATATCCTGTTCTCTTTCTGTAATTGCTTCTGTGTCTCTTTCTCTCTCTCTTGTTCCTTTTCTGTACGTCTCAAGCTCACTATGTTGCTTTTTATCATGGTATTTCTCATTCTGCATAGTGGGTGGAAATGCAGTGTGTGTGACCTTCGAGAGAATCTCTGGCTCAATCTCACAGACGGCTCCATTCTGTGTGGAAGAAGATACTTTGATGGCAGTGGGGGAAATAACCATGCAGTGCAGCATTATCGTGAAACCGGCTACCCTCTGGCTGTCAAACTGGGCACAATCACACCTGACGGGGCTGGTTAGTGTCATCTATATTTGCTTTACCTCACATCATCCTACTCTTTTTTTTTTTTGTTTTAATTGTATCACTCAGACCTGTGTTAACAACAAGGTTCATTTAACCCCTTAACCCCTTAAGGACACATGACATGTGTGACATGTCATGATTCCCTTTTATTTCAGAAGTTTGGTCCTTAAGGGGTTAAGGACACATGACATGTGTGACATGTCATGATTCCCTTTTATTCCAGAAGTTTGGTCCTTAAGGGGTTAAAGCAAACCTTTCACTACTTACTGACCCTCTGCTTGCCCTGTCGCGATCTCATTACAGAGGTGGGTGTTAGTCTTCTGTAACAGTGACGTCGCCTGAACATCACTGTTTTTATACTCCCAAGCCAGTGTTAGCAGTGTCAGCTAGGGAGTTACCATAGCAACCACAGCGCATGCACTATGGTTGCTATAGTTAGAGAGCAGCAGGACCACATGTGGATGATTTCTTCTTCTTTCCTTTATCAATCAATTCCTCGGCATAGAGTCTATGCCAAAGAATTGACAGGTGGGAGAAAAACATATTTTAATTTGATTTGTCTCCCATTTTATATATATATATATATATATATATATATATATATATATATATATATATATATATATATATATATATATATATATATATATATACATACATATACTGTTGCTACCAAAACTGCAAGCACAATGTATACATGACATTTGATGTTCTTTATAAAGTGCAAAAGTAGTTTGGGGTATGACAGGTGTCCTTTAAAAAGATCACAAGATTGCAGACATCATAACCTGCACCAGACTCCTCTGCCACATCTTTATCTCCAAGTGGTAACAAGACACTGCCGCCGTCTGCCCTGTGTGTGTGTCTCATCACACAGCTCACTTGTGGAACAGTCTGCCCTGTGTGTGTCTCATCACACAGCTCACTTGTGGAACAGTCTGCCCTGTGTGTGTCTCATCACACAGCTCACTTGTGGAACAGTCTGCCCTGTGTGTGTCTCATCACACAGCTCACTTGTGGAACAGTCTGCCCTGTCTGTTTATCCTTGCTTTGCTCACATTGCTGGCACAAGCTGTACTGTATCTGTTTCCTCCCCCCATCACACAATGCTGGTAAAATGTGCAGTGTGTTTCTCCTCTCACTGTTCACACAGTTGGCACAGTCTGCCCTGTGTGTCTCTTCACCCTCTCACTGCTGGGACAGTATGTCCTGTATGTGTCCTCGCCCTCTCACTGCTGGGACAGTCTTCCCTGTGTGTGTCCTCGCCCTATAACTGCTGGGACAGTCTTCCCTGTGTGTGTCCTTGCCCTCTCACTGCTGGGACAGTCTGGCTCATGTGTGTCTGTTTCCTTTCTATAATTACTCTGCTGGCACACTTTGCCCTGTGTGTGTATGTCAGCTCACACTGTTGTGTCCTATCAATTCTGGCATTGCCCTGTTTGTGTGACTTCTCACTGCTGGCATTTTGTGACTCCTCTTTGCACACACTCCTAGCAGTTTCAGCTACCTCATGTGTCCTCTCTTAGCACACACCGCTGGCACAGGCTGCTTTCTTTTTCCCATTATTGTACTTTGTTAAACCAGTTCCTTTTCTCTGCAGATGTGTACTCTTATGATGAAGATGATATGGTTTTGGACCCCAGTCTGGCAGAGCACCTTTCTCACTTTGGAATTGACATGATGAAAATGCAGAAGGTTGGTACTTATATTAAACCAGAACGAGTAAAAAAGCCCACACCAGGGGGGAGGCTGACTTACCCTGCACTGACACTAAGCAAATTTGGTCACTGGTGTGGGTCTGCCTTGTTCTACCATGCATGCCAGCCTATGGGATCTAGGAGGACTGTAGTTGTTAAGGAATTTGGTAAATGCTGGTTGTCTTACAAATAATTCTGTGTTCACCATATAAGTTTATTTGTCCTCTCAGACTGACAAGACAATGACTGAACTGGAAATCGACATGAATCAGCGAATTGGTGAATGGGAACTAATCCAGGAGTCAGGAGTTCAGCTACAGCCATTATATGGCCACGGATACACCGGGATCCGCAATCTGGGGAACAGCTGCTACCTGAACTCCACCATGCAAGTTCTCTTCAGCATCCCAGCCTTCCAGCAAAAGTATGTGATCTCTGTTTGTGGGATTGTCAGAGTTAGTGCAGTACATGTCAGATGCAGACAAGACATAGTTCACTGAATATAGGTCAGTAGGGAAAGTACTTGCTCCACTGCTAAAGATATTTTCCTTTCAGATATGTCGAACGCATGGAGCAGATCTTTCAGAAGGCGCCCACTGATCCAACACAGGATTTCAACACCCAGGTGTAAGCATGTGTTTACAGAGTGAGAGGGCATGGCATGTTTTGTGTAGGTAAAATATCAGTCTTGTGACTACAATGTACCAGTCAATCATCCCTTGTGCAGTCAAAACTGACTATGTTAAACATCTCAGGATGTTCTTTAAAACCATACTCTTATTTTCCAAAGGATATATTATTCCAGTAAATCTAGTATGTTTAAGGATTAAATTGAATCTTTTAATTACAAGCCTCTTGTTGCCTATCGAATAACCTCTAATCCCAACTCCATTTTTTTCCTGAGGATAATTCATCTTGCTTTAAACACGGTGTTCTATTAAATGTAATTTTGTTTTATGACAATGTATACAGCTGACATATGCTATCCATACAAAAGCTGTTCATTCTGTGTATTGTTTATTTTATGTAGTTTTATCCTGCTCGAACAGCTGTCTCTAGCATTCCCACACTGAGGGAGCCTGCAGGCTACTAATATATTTACGGCCTTGTTTGTCATTTTTCAGACTCTATAGAGTACGTGTTCTCGTTGCAGGGCTTTAAAACACCTGACAACTTAGTTTCTGAGTTGAATATACTTAAGTCAGTAGAAATAATAATCAACATAGAGAATAGTTATTTCAATCCTTTTTGTGCATTGTAAATTTGTCTTCATGACAACCAATGAATGGGGACAGAAGCCATAACATTCCTTTTAGTATTTATATAGTTTGAAAATACATGGGAGCTTGGTTTCTAGCACAAATGCTTGAAGAGGATAGGCAGCTCAAACACATAAACCAGAGTCTCTCAATTCTGGTCCAGTAGAAAGTGCGTAGAAAAAAAGGTGTAGTGTGGTGTAGTGCCTTAATATATTTCTTGAGGTCGGTACATTCTCAGGGGTAGTAGAATATGTGTAGACAGAATAATGCAGCAAAATATAGTGTAGTCTCTTTGTAACGTGAAAATATAAAGAATGAAACTGCACCTAAGGTAGCTCTATCGGAATGCGCTTGGGCAGTAAAATCACTGCCTAGTGATGTTCGGTGTCTTCTTTCTTAATGTGCATTTGGGCAAATGACCTCCATCTAGGTGTGGTGACTCAGGATGGTATCCACCCCAGCTTTAGGGCCTTGCAGGCTTGTTAGTAGGTTGATACTGTATATGAAATAAAATAAATATAGTACTCGATGTTATTGTAAATTAATAAACATTAGGAGAGGAAATGCGGTTTTGCTCAACTCACAGCGCTCAGGTGGTATTTTCCCCACCAAAGGAATGTGTGGTCCTAGGCTCCACAAGAGAGTCCAAAGAGGTTAGTATATTATTTTATTTAATAAGCCAGTACATAAAGCTAAAAAATAATAAAAGTAGCAAAAACACTTTTTTAAAAAGCTTTTTTACTGGCAAAACGCATTAAGTGTTTTTACTAATGTGTACTGCTTTCGTTCTTTATATTTTCACCTTACATGAGATCTACTTCACTATATTTTTCTGCATTCTTCTGTCTCCACATATTCTACTACCTTGGAGAACGTACCTACCTCAAGAAATATATTAAGGCGCTACCCCTTCCTTTTATTCTATGCTTTATCTATATAGAACCACCATATAGCACAGTACAAAAAAGTTCAGCTTCTAATCAATTTGTACTTATCTAAATTATATACCAAGACATCACTTAAAAGGTGATACTAAGCACCAAAAACACTTCATCTTAATGAAGGGGCTTTGGCGCATAGACCCTATGCCCTTTTCTGACAATGTAAAATGTTGCTGTTTCAAACAAACAGCAGTGTTTTCACACATTTTTGCTACCAGGCTGCAACAGACTCCGACTAATGACTGAGCAATTACATTGAGGAGACTGACTCTGCTTATGTTTAATATTTATTTGAATGGGGATGAGAACCATAATCTAAACACTGGCAGGAACACTCTGTTATTTAAAACCTTTTTTTTTTTTTTAATTTTTAAACATTCTTTTAAATCTAAGTTTTGAATTTTAGAAACCTCATCCAAGGAACAATCTGTAGAAAAAATCAGTGATAAAAATTTGGACTTTGTCACTTAAACTGGCTAAATTTCAGGTTTGCAAATAGTTCAAGGGTTTCTAGTTCATAGTTATTATGTTGTGGAGAGTGAGTGCAGCATCACTGGTTAATAGGCAGATGGGCTGCGTCCTTGCTTAGTAGGCAGTTTGACCTGAGTCGTTGAGTAGCAAGTAGAGTGAGATGCGTCATATGGAAAGTAGGAGGAGTTATGCAGTTAGCAAGCAGAGGATGTTTGGTTAGCAAACATGGGAGCACAGCCTCATTGGTTGACAGGCTGGGGTGCTGCATCTTTGGTTGGCAGGCGTGAGGGCGCTGTCATATAGCAGATTATATAGTGGCACATACCAGGCAGAGAGTGCTGTGTTATTAAGCAGAAAATGTAGTGTCATTATTTAGCAGGTAGGCGGTGCTGTGTCATTAGTTAGATGGTGTAGAGTTAGGTATTCCTATCTATGCTTGTGTATGTCTAAATGCATGCAGTAAAACTTGCCAAACATATGTGATTCCAATAGAGCGAAGCTGGGAAATGCCTTGTTATCTGGTGAATATTCAAAGCCGGCTGTTGAACGAGAGGGTGATGCAGCATCGGAGCAGAAGGTGAGTCTCGCATATAAAGTTATGTATTCACTGCTGTTGACTGCACCGTAATACTTGGGGTTTTGTTTGTGGAAGGCGAGTGTCCATATACTGTATTCACCTTTGATGCTTTGCAGGGCCTGCAGGACGGGATCGCTCCGCGCATGTTCAAAGCGTTGGTGGGAAAGGGACACCAAGAATTTTCCACTAACCGACAGCAGGATGCCCAGGAATTCTTCCTCCATTTCATCAACATGGTGGAGGTGAGTTCTTTGAGTGGGTATTGGTGAGTTTTTGGAGAGGATTTTCAGCGTATGTTCCTGGAGTGCAATTTTTAGGTCACTGCTCTAAATGTTGGGCATTTAGCACAAGTAATTAATTGATTTGCCCTTAAAATTGTAAGAAGCTACATAATATGTTGCTGCTAAAGAAATGACAATAAAAATGTCAGTGGGGTTTTCACTGGGGACAATTGTTTGCTCTAGACTAGAGACCTAACTGTTTCTGCTAAAGGGTTTTGGTTTCAGGGTGCCGTGTTCAGGATTTTCCGATGGGGAAAAAAAAAGCAGTAATTTCAATTTTCTTAATGGATGGAAAGGGGGAGAGAGGCTGTGTGGTGATAGATTTAATTTGTAACATAGAAACACCAGCTATTTATTTATTTAAAGGGGTTACTATATGCTGGAATCAACCCTTATCAATGCTTTATATACATAATTCAATACAGATAATTCAAACAAATCCACAAAGTACAAGGCAACCGAACCTTTACTGGTGCTGTCAGCTCATTTATTATTAAACCTCCAGCTTTATAAAAATGGAGGGTCTACAATGTCCTCAGCACTCTTAACCACTCAGTGTTGTCCAGGCTGGGTAAAATTGACATTGATGATGTGGAAGTGTTAATTGTGCATCATTGATGCGGCTGAGATGGAGTAGTCTTTTTACCCTAGGAAAGACCCCTGGTTTATAAAAATGGTTTAATATTAAACTGCTTGATTAAGATAGTGGACCTAAAGAAACTTAAAGCAGCACTTCACCGTTTGGGCACTTTGCCATCACCGCTAGGTGTCTGGTGGCCGAGGTGTAGGGGTGCAGGTTAAAGTGAGTTTACTTACCTGAAACTGTCCCTTGCAGTGCAGCCATCTCAAACCTACTTTGTTTCTGCATATCTCTTTTTGTGAAATTCCAACACAGTCATAATGAGTATTTAATAAAGAGTCTATCTTTATGAAATACAAATTTTTAGGGGGGGGTGTGACAGTGCATCTTTAAACACTCCAGTAAATGGTACCTATTATTAAGTGCTCACTTTAAGCATGAAATGCGAGAACTTTCATTATGTATATTTGCGTACTCATTTAAACACTTTTATTTATTTTTTTTATTTCAGCCGACATTGGCAAGTCTTTTACGTATTTGGAGTCCTGGATTCTCAGTAGTGAGAATTTGGTTGGACTTCAGTAAGCTGTAGTGTTAAAGTTTCTGATAATGTTCCTTTAAATAAAAAAATGATTCTTAATTTAATCCCACAGTAGGCAAGAATTTTACTCACAGTTTTTAATTAAATAGATGCAAAAAATATATATAGTTAAAGAATTACTCCAAGCACCATGACCACTTCCATGTTTTGACGTGGTTATGGTGATTGGAGTATGTATGTGTATGGTTTCAGTTTGAAAATGCTGCGCATACAGAGATATGAGGTTTCTGCCTGAGATGTCACTCTACCTCCAACAGTGTATTAGCCATTCCAGAATGAGAACTGTGAGCTTGCTAATGTTAAACCTGTTTGTTCTGGGTCAAATGGAGTCCTTCTCCCTTGAGAGGGTCTGTTTGTTAAGGGTGATATGGAGTCCTCTTCCCCTGAAGGTGGATGTTTGTTCAGGGACACATAGCCTTCTGAGTTCTGTTTTTTTTTTTTTTTACTGCAAACCCTTTCCACCTCCTTTTAGAGAAATTGTCGAAGTTCATCTAATCCTAATGAAGTATTTCGGTTCCTGGTGGAAGAGAAGATTAAATGCCTGGTGTCTCAGAAGGTCAAGTACACTCAGAGAGTTGAGTACATCCTGCAGCTTCCTGTCCCCATGGAAGCCGCTCTGAACAAAGGTGAGTATGGCCCCTGAGCATTGCAGAATTATAATTTGTGATTATTAATGGAAAGAGGCTGTGTGTGTACAGGTGTTTAATACTTTATAATCTTACAATGGGTTCCCCTGTACACAGTCCGGCACACATCTTGTTTAGCACATATGGAGCTATGAAGATGTTAGTGCTTCAGTAGGGACAATCATGCAAGTAATATTGAGAACAGTAAATGTACCTGTGATTTGTCAGAGTGAGGAAGAAGGTTATATCATTCATGTGCATTGGGGACAACCAGACTAAGGGACACTGTTAATTTTTGCTTGTGTGCCAGAATGAAAAAAAGGACAATTTTGGATATGGACATGGGATGGCACCAGTGTGATAACGTTCATTATTCTACTTGCTCACAGATTTATGAGGAGACCAGAATGAGAAAATAATTTAAATCACGAATTTACATGCAGTAGCAACGTCAGAGCAAAGTATTTTTAACAGAGACTTTTATTGTGTTTCAGAGGAGTTAAGTATTTATGAGCAGAACAGACTCCAGGCAGAGCAAGAGCATCGCCCCCCTCCTGAGCTGGTCCGTGCACGGATCCCTTTCGCATCCTGTCTGGAAGCGTTTGCTGCCCCTGAACAACTTGATGAGTTCTGGAGTGCTGCCCTTCAAGCCAAATCTAATGCATTGAAGTAAGAAATGTGTTTTAGTCCAAGGAAAGGGTATAAATGACAGTATAGTTATTTGTTCATCTACAACCAACTCCTATTTGATCTTTCAAGCCTTTGTTTCTTATTCTTTGTTCTCCCTGTTCTCATATCACTTTATCTGTCATTTCATTCTCTCTCTACCAGCCTGTGTGTTGTATGTTCTCAGCACCACGTATTGTGGCCATTTCACCTCCATCCCATTCACGGTGCCCCCTCCTTCCATTTTTACTTTCTCTTATCAGCTTTGCTCACCCCAGGCAATCTCTCTGCCTTCTCCCCATTCAGTTTTGATCATAGCTCCAATCTCATACAACACATCTTACTCTTTCTCAATCATTTTCTCCACTTTCTTCATTAAATACCCATCTTTTTTCGACTTCACTCTGTAACCTTTTCTTGTCCTAGCTTTCTAACTGTTTCTAACCCAGCTTATTTAATTTATTACCACTCTCTCCCTATAGTCTCTCCTCCCATTTCTTACACTCTCCGTCTGTATCTCTCATTGTCCTTTATTACTTCCTAGCTCTACCTTTTGCTTCTTCCATCTGATACAACCTCCCTCACATTCCTGTTCTCCTTACCCACCGTAATATATTTTTGCCGCTTATTCTTCTCACCACCTCTTAAAGCATATCTCTAACCACCCTTACACTGTTTTCCATCACATAAAACACTTACATGTATATTGCCGCCCTTCTAGACTTCTCTCTCCTCTAACTGTTGTATCCAATGTCTCTCTACACCCTGTTTGTCTTAAAGGGACACTGCAGGACCCTTGCTGAAAATCATTACATATACTTAAAGGAATTTTCTTTTCCTGGCTATTTCCATTGTTTCATCACTAATGTGTTAAATCCCCACTCAGCAGTCAGGACAGGAAGTATCAATTAACAAATCTTAATAAATTACCCTACTTCTGTAGAAGTCTTATTATAAAGAATCAACTGAAGGGTGGGACGTTGATACTGCCATAGAAATGGGCAGGAAAAGAAAATTCTGATAAGGATGGGTAAGGAGTTTCCTTTTTCCTGGTCAAAATGGCAGCATCACTAATGGGGAATCCCCAAGCCAAGAAGGCAGGGAGACATAAGTGGATATGGTGAATAGAACACTGGATCTAAACTTAGAACATTTATCTTTAGGAATGTCTGGGCAGGGTTCCTATTGAACGTAGAATCTGAAGCCCAGGTAGCAGCCCTTTATTTATTTGCATTTTTTCATGAACAGAAGCCCAGGTAGTGTGAGGTCTAATGAATAAGGGAATCTCCATTGCTTATCCAGAGAGGGATTTCCCAATAGCCAGTGAGAACTATTAAATAAATCAAACTCAATTGAAAAACTCATGAACCCAAATACAGAATGTGAAAATAAAGTAGAACAGGATATCAAGCTTTGCATATCACATAAAACAGTAGGACAGTATATGAAGCTCTGTAGATCTCATAAGATAGTCAAAGAAAACTCAAATCTGTATCTGGGCTCTGTCGAATAAGATACATATAAATAAGCAGCAGAGCCTTGAGTACAGACCCAAAGATTGGTAAATGAAGATAACCTGTACTTGAAAGTAGTACATAACCTTCAAACAAACGACCACAACTCCCAGACACAGATCGATACACTGCTGTGAACTGGTAATATCCATGCCTCTGAGGAGTAAGTCACTGTCACATATTTCACTGCTACTATATGTAGGTGAGATTATAGAAAAAAACAGAGCCCAACATACATCAGTCACCTGAAAAGAGCAGACAATAAAGGAACTCTATAGTGTCAGAAATAAAAACATTTAGGTCCCGGGCCACTTAGATCGCATAGGAAAGATGTTTAAACGTACCTTTTTTCCCCCCACGCCTCATTGGTCTTGCTGTGCCTGGCTTTGCCTCCATCGCTGATATCTTTAATCTTGATGATCTCTACAAATCAAGTGCTTTATCATAGGAAAGCATTGGGAGGCTGTTGCTCATGTTCAGCAAAACACTGCATCAGACAGCATCTCCTCCTAAAGATGCATTGATTCAATGTATCTGTATGGGGAGCGTTCAGCGTCTCCAAGCAAAGCGTGGAGACGCTGAACATAAGTGCTGCACACTGCTCAGTACTGGACTAGGAAGCACCTTTAGTGGCTATCTGAGTGACTGCACCTAGAGGTGTTACTAGGCAGCAATGTAAACATTAAGCTGTAGTGGTTCTGATGACTAGTGTCCCTTTAAGTCTGTCTATACATTACACTTGATACAGGTTAATATCCTCTTCTCAAGGCTGTAATATACAGAACAACATCCATGAAGAAGAGCCATTATCCCGGTTATTCCTGGAATTGGTATCTCCTGTGTCCATAGGACTTTAATATAAAGGCATCCATATTAATGAAAAAATTGAGTGCGAACCTCCCTTTCTTCTACAATATATTATAAAGGCAGACTTCCTCTGAAGTTATCCCTTAGCCCTGATATTGGTCTTGGACTCCTCTTCTGTCCTCAGGTCTGCACTCTTTTATCCAGCTCCAATACTGGACATATAAAACTTGCCTAGATGCTCACCAATAAACTCCTAAATGTGACCTACTTGTTACAAGAAAGCCCTAATGAAAGTAACAGGGACTACAGAAAATCCATAGCCCTCGTACTTATGCTAATCAGTAATCTAAACTACTATTGCACTGGCCTGTGTTGGGAATCCCAAAACTAATAGCATGTATAGAGGTACACCCAAGTAGTCACCTTGCACAGGTGCTGTTTACTGGGTCTTCACGGAAAAGAGTCTGTACAAAAGGCTCCTTTTTTGAGGCCGGGGTGGGGGGGTGTGGGTGAAGACGACAGAGGCTTCTACAGAAGAAGGGGAATTTATTAACATTTTCCTTGCACTGCAGGATCCTGCAGTGCCCCCCTCCCTCCCACTCCCCATTCCATGTTGCTGAAGGGGTTCAAACCCCTTTAGGGACTTACCTGGATCCAGCACCGACGTCCCTCGTGCTGGGTCAGGCTCTGCCCTTGCTCCTCCCCCGCCGTCATTAGCCGGTGGGTTAAACCTAATGTGCATGCATTAGACCTAATGCGTATTATTTAATGCTTTCCTATGGGGATTCTGGCGATGTTGGAGGTCCTCATGCACAGCGTGAGGACGTCCAGCGTCATTTAAAACACTTTTCGTGTTATAAGAAGCCGGAAGTCCCTATAGTGGCTGTCTGATAGTGGTCTGGGTGCCTGGAGTGTCCCTTTAAGATTTGTTGATACTTCCTGTCCTGACTGCTGAGTGGAGATTTAACCCATTAGCGATGCTGCCTTGTTAACCAGAAAACAAAATATATATCACCATCTATCTGTTCTTATACTACTCTCCCAGCTCATACAGTCCCTCTCTCATTCTCACACACGTTTCATATAGTCCCCTTTCTACAGTCTCACTCTTTCTCTTCTCACAGGACATCCCGCTTTGCCTCATTTCCAGATTACTTGGTCATTCAAATTAAGAAGTTCACATTTGGACTTGATTGGGTTCCCAAAAAACTGGGTAAGAGAAAGTATCATAGTGTGTTGCATTCCTCTCTTGGTGGTAAAGTGTAGTGGCTTGTTTGGGTATCCAATGTTTTGACTGAAACTTGATTTACTATTATTAAGTCAGGAGGACAGTACAGAAACAGAATCCAATATTAAAGCGTGATGTATAAATTCTATTCTCTGTACATAAATGGCACTATTTATTTAATGTCCATTTACCTTCTTTGTTTCTCACCATTACCATTCCACATCATCAAGAGCTGGCGATGGTGTTGGAAGACTTTCTATCACTGACAGGAAACACGATAAAGAGGCACAAACCGCCTCAATAAGTCATTATTTAATGCTATAATTTCTCTGTGTGAGGTCCCCTGCCATATACAGCAAGGTCAACATGTTCTATCAATATGTCCAGCTCTTTATGTTGACCTCAGTAATGCAGAACAGGGTTTCTCATCTTCTCTCTAATCCCTCATTCCACTTACCATAGTGCTTTGACTGTTTTTAAGAGCTCGTGTATTCTTTGTGCTGTAGTATAGTGTAATTTGGTAATGTTTCGCGTTTTGTTTCCTGACTTGCCTTTTGCAATATCGGAAACCTACTCTGATGTACTGCTGTGTTATTTGTTAATGGTACTTCGGCTTTTTGTAAATCGGGACATTTATATGACCAGAACAAGCTCTACTGCTCATAGATTACTGAATAAGACCGTTCTTCACTTATTGTTTTTTATGTATATCATATATTTACTTTATCTTAATTAAAGATTCAATTTATTTAAAAAATAGGTTTAATCTGCTGCATTATGCCATTAAGAATGTTTGCAGAGATGGAATCTTATTGTATATTTATTATAAGGAGGAAAAGCATACATTGCCTCTTACTTTTAACATACTAATTTGCCTCCTCTTAATCCACAGATGTATCTATCGATGTCCCAGAAGAACTGGATCTGTCACAGTTTCGAGGTGGGGGGCTGCAAGGGGATGAGGAAGAACTCCCAGACGTTGCCCCCCCACTAGTCACCCCAGATGAGCCCAAAGGTAGCCTTGGTTTCTATGGCAACGACGATGACGACTCGTACTGCTCCCCTAACTTCTCCTCTCCGACATGTTAGTGTTTCTGCCTCTTGTGGGACCACTGGTGACTGAGTGTGCCATGAGTGAACTGAGCATTTAGTACACTCATTGAGTGAACTGAACAGGGAGTACCCCTTGTGAGTAAGAGTAGTGACTGTTGCGGGTACATCTTGTACGTTCTGTGCAATAAGTGTGTGAGCTGAGTACCACATAACCCCTGGAAGTCTGATCTACACAGGGCAGAAATAGACAGAATGTATCCATCCTTACCCTTTCATCCATGTGTAACAAGGGGGTGTTAAAAGTCAGACTGGTGGGAAGCTGTAGCATTTCACTGATTTTCCTACCCCATGCCTGAGTAGAGACTTGCTCAAAGGTTCTCCTATCCCACCACTTGATATGTGGTGGGTAAGGGTGTTAACAAATACAAGGATCCAGTGAACTCCCATGAACAAGGAAGGAGCCTCAGAATTCCTCCAATGCTCACAAATTGTATGGGTTAAACTTAAACTCCCCCCTTCAACTCTAACATTGCTAACCAAACGCCACAAGTACGTTATGCCAGGTGTATCAGCTAATGCAAAACTCCACTCAACCTCACCTGTATTTCCTGGGTGTGTGTGATCCCCATGGCATTTTTGAAAACTTTAATGTCCGTACCTTATGACCTTAACTGTACGTGGCAAGATTGGATCACTTTCATATATTTTCCCTTTTAATGAAGAAAAAAAATAAAACTTGCCTCATCCATCTTTTTAAAAGATGCTTCCGTATCCCTATCCCTCCAACATAAAACAATACATTTCCTGATAGAAATATGGGATCCAGTCTGCCAAGTACTGTCTTTCTCTTTCGTTCCCCAGCAGCTCTGCAGAAGATGTTTGTTACTGTCACAGTGCATGCTGTAATTACCTCTTTTCCTCATCAGTGCAGGTTCAGATCGCAACCTAAACAATTACGGTGAGACAATGTCAGTATCACTTAAAGGGTTGTTCTCTTTGCTGAGATTTGACAAGAGAATTACAAATTTTGCTATGCAACATAACTCCATGTACATCATTTCCAGTTTGGCTCCCATCCCAGAAATGCACAATTCCCAGTATATTTAATAACCCACTTCACTGGATACAATGACACCAATCGGGAATTCTATTTGGCCACCTCGGAGGGGGATGTACATTTCTGCATAGACATGCAAGCTAACCGGTGTTGTCTACTTGAATGAGCGTGCCATATGTTTCCTGTTCTCACAATAAGTAGAGTGGTCCTGTTTTTTGTTTGTTTATGTGGGCAGCTGGCTGAGTGAGTGAACCACAAACTCCTTGTGAGCCAGCAAGTCATGTATGTCACTTCATAGGACATCTGAAGAGCAGGTGACCTGTTCCCTTTATATGTGATGGTGAACATGACCTGTACCTAGGGTAAAGCAGACACTTGCCACTTGAAAAGGTGCACACCCTGTATGTTTATGATGCTCAGTGCTGGCCTGTATGTGATTGGCACATGTGGTCTGCTGAGTGTCTGTTTATTAGGAAGCAAGTAAATTCTTTTCATATTCTCTGTCTGTATCTGGGAAGTGGGCTGTCTGTGGGCTTCCTTTTCGTGGGGTGCACCTTTCTGATCTCTTACACCCACCCCAGGTCCTTGCAGGGTTTCTTTGCCCCCATATCCACCTCTCACCCCTTTGTCCTGATAGCTCCAGTTCTGGATGAATCTGTGGTCACTCAGCTGGTAGAAATGGGATTTCCAGCAGAAGCATGTCGTAAGGCTGTGTACTACACGGGTAACAGTGGAGCAGAGGCTGCCATGACTTGGGTGATGTCGCACATGGATGACCCAGGTAATAATTTATGCTGGTCGGAGATTATTGATCCCAGGGTGGTAAAGGAACAGAGAGTGAAATGTGCCGCTTTATTAGTGTCTCCTCTTTTCTTCCTGATGCAGCACAGGAATTCTGCCCATTTTGTTTATCACACCAAAGAGGTCTTCCTTTCTTGTGTGATACTGGCAGTGTGCCCCCTTATCTCTGGTGCATCATTTGAAATGTGATGTGGTGCCCAAAGTATACCCCCCTTCTTGGCACAGCACCAGAAGTGTGCCTCCTCTCTCCGGACACTGCACATGAAGTGTTCCCCCTTTCTCCTGATGTGGCGTGTCTTCGTTTTATTGCCTCGCTCCTTTCTGCAAGTAAAACATGGTCTTCTGGTAGGACTTGAGAGATTAGAGTTGGACCTCACAGTATTTCAATCTTTCGCCCCATTCTCTAGATTTTGCTCATCCTTTAGTTGTATCAGGGGTCAGTGCTCCATCTTCAGTCATTGTTGGTGGGGATCCTCCCTCGGAAGAGCATATAGCGACCATAATATCCATGGGTTTTTCACAAGAACAGGCTGTTCGAGCACTACGTGCTACAGTAAGTGCCAGATACCCTGCTGCTTGTAACTACTTCTCTCGTAATGCTCTGTCTGTGGTCCATTGGCAACTATGTCACTGCATTGGCTTACTCTGCACTTTGTCTACTTCCCTGTCTCTACTTGCTCTCTTACATCCCATTCTGCTCAAACTTTGCCATTGTTTTTTCCTCCTCTTGTTTCGTGCCATCTGCTTTCTCAAACGTTCTCCTCTCTGCTCCCTGCAGAATAATAGTCTGGAACGTGCTGTTGATTGGATCTTCTCTCATATCGATGATCTGGATGCTGAGGCAGCAATGGATATGTCAGAAGGACGTTCAGCTGCAGAGTCTGTGTCTGAGAGTTTAGCCGCCGCCGGGCCTCGTGTGAGAGATGGTGCAGGCAGTGAGTATCTGTGGGGAGTGGGTACATTTGGGGTAAGAGAGTGTACACGTAACAGAGAGGAGGTGGATGTACAGAGTGGATACAAGCACTTTCTGTGTTTTATTTTATTAACCTTATGGTTTACTTTGGCAGGATATGAATTGTTTGCATTCATTAGTCACATGGGGACCTCCACCATGTGTGGCCATTACGTTTGTCATATAAAGAAGGAAGGCAGGTGAGATAATCAGATATTGCTGTGTTGTAGCTGCACATCCCTTTCATATGCCTTTTATCTCTCTCTCATCATAAATCTCTCTCCTGCACAGGTGGGTGATATACAATGATCAGAAGGTTTGTGCATCAGAAAAGCCTCCCAAAGACTTGGGATATATTTACTTCTACCAACGTGTGCAGAGCTAATGTAATCCTTGCTTCTCAGTACGTGCCGGGAGGGAGACAAGACCCCCAATACCCCTTATCGCAAGGGTTGAGGCTGGAGGTGGGGGGTGGGCATATTCATGGTTTATTTCAACAGGATGTGGAGTCGTTTCCCCCCCACCCCCCCCCACCAAACTGATTCCCAATCTGTTTTGGGGGCTGGTATGTGTCACTGAAATAGTCAGTGTGCAGGGGGCGGGGCTTGGAGACCAGAGACAGAGGTTTGGACTGAAGTTTGGCTGTGCGTTAAAGGTTAAACCTCTGGTCCTGACTCCTTTGCGTGTATTTAATCCCAGACTGACCAGTGTGAATAAAGTTTTTTTTCCCCATCGCTTAAACTCTGCGTTTTACATATATACTGCTTATTGACTGTATGGGCCCCAGGGTAATATGGTTTATACACACACACACTGATTATATGGGCCCTGGGTAATATGGTTTACACACACACACACACACACACACACACACTGATTATATGGGCCCTGGGTAATATGGTTTATATACGCACTGCTTACTGACTGTGTGGACCCGGGGTAATATGGTTTGTTTACACACTGCTTACTGACTGTATGGGCTCTGGGTAATACAGTTTATATACACACTGCTTACTGACCATATGGGCCTCAGGATAATATGGTTTATACACACACTGATTATATGGGCCCCAAGGTAATATGGTTTATATACATATTGCTTACTGAATGTATGGGTCCCAGAGTGATATGGTTTATATACACACTGCTTACTGTCTGTATCGGCCCAAGGGTAGTATGGTTTGTTTACACACAGCTTACTGACCATATGGGCCCCAGGGTAATATGGTTTATACACACTGCTTACTGACCATATGGGCCCCAGGGTAATATGGTTTATACACACACACTGATTATATGGGCTCAGGGTAATATGGTTTATACACACACACTGATTATATGAGCCCTCGGTAATATGGTTTATATACGCACTGCTTACTGACCGTATGGGCCTGGGGTAATATGGTTTATATACGCACTGCTTACTGACCGTATGGGCCTGGGGTAATATGGTTTATATACGCACTGCTTACTGACCGTATGGGCCTGGGGTAATATGGTTTATATACGCACTGCTTACTGACCGTATGGGACTGGGGTAATATGGTTTATATACGCACTGCTTACTGACCATATGGGGCCATGGGTAATATGATTTATATACACACTGCTTACTGACCATATTGGGCCCAGGGTAATATGATTTATATACACACTGCTTACTGACCATATGGGGCCCAGGGTAATATGATTTATATACGCACTGCTTACTGACCTTATGGGCCCCAGGGTAATATGGTTTATAAATTTACTCTGTGTTGGCACTCTCTACAGGGTGGTGCAGGTATTAGAGGTTACTCTCAAATAAACCGCAAGAAATATATACAAATTAATATTAATACTGCACTTAGACACAATAAGTTTGTCCAATAAAGACAGAAGATATTAGAATATTGCAAAATGTATTCAGTGAATATCTTACCAAAAAATGTAGATAAACAAAAAAAAAATGTTTCCATATACAGAGTGGTGCAAAACCACCAAAAAATCTTAACATGTGATATAACATTTGATTCTGACACAATTAAATTCATTTAATGTACACATATCCTATGTACATATCTACACCAAATCTTAATGAGCTATTTGATAACAAGACTGTGCTCTAATTGTTGGGTTGGTATGCCTGGCAGTCTGATCAGACAAAAAATATGTACAGAATTGCAAAAATAGAAAAATAGAAAAAATTGATGAATGAAAAGTAATTGCAAAAAACTAAAAATAAGAATAAAAATTGAATGTAGCAGTCTCTCAATAGAAAAATAAGTTGGATATACAAAATGGTTAGATCTCACCAAAAATGTTCAAGATGTTGGATGTTCAATATGATGGCAAGTACAGCATGTTACTGTAGTGAGGATCATTGCAGCTCTCTCTTTCCTGTGGCTAATAACAGTTTGTGTATCAAAGGATGGTGTCAGTCTCTGTCCGGACTTGTGTGATTTGGGCAGCGCGCTCTGGACACTGGTGTCCCTTTGAAGGCCCTCATGCCCTCAAATGGTTTATATACACACTGCTTACTGACCATATAGGCCACAGGGTAATATGGTTTGTATACACACCTTACTGACCATATAGGCCACAGGGTAATATGATTTATATACACACTGCTTACTGACCATATGGGCCATGTGGTAATATGATTTATATACGCACTGCTTACTGACCATATGGGCCACGTGGTAATATGGTTTATATACACACTGCTTACTGACCATATAGGCCACAGGGTAATATGGTTTATATACACACTGCTTACTGACCATATAGGCCACAGGGTAATATGGTTTATATACACACTGCTTACTGACCGTATGGGCCTGGGGTAATATGGTTTATATACGCACTGCTTACTGACCATATGGGCCACGTGGTAATATGGTTTATATACGCACTGCTTACTGACCATATGGGCCACGTGGTAATATGGTTTATATACACACTGCTTACTGTCTGTATGTGTCCCAAGGTAATATGGTTTGTATACACACTGCTTACTGACTGTATGGGACCCAGGATAATAGAATTTAAGCACATATATTTATGAGATGTGCAGAGTATTCCCATTAAAAATAATGGAAAGAAAAAGATGCAAACTAAACAGGGAGGTCAACATTTCGCAACATTGTACAGTCTGCCCTCCCCTCCCTCGTTGTACAGCTTGGCAGCATATGCTGCTGTTTTACAAGTACTAAATAATAACCAAGATGAGAATATTACAATATTAACATTAAAGTTATTTTAGTCTGAAATTTGCAATTCTGTTTTATAATTCCAATGGTTTTGAGCACTAAATGTGCTCTAGAGAAATACTTCAATAAGGGAAACCACAGTGAATGTGTTATCTGTATTCTAATTCTTAGCGCAAAGTTCAAAGTCTCTGTACATTAGGATCTGGCAAGGCATTGGAAAATGATAAACAATCAAGAAAGAACTGGGAGGCATTTAATGGGCCAAAAGAATCAGAAAACATGGGACACAGGCAGCATTTTAGCACTGAATCAGGGGACTCAAGGGGATCAATACAGATTCCCAGATAGGATTAGGGAGGGTATTCAGCAGTTCAACATACCTCCGAAATTTCAACTGTACAAGAGGGACCCTTTAATTTTAGATGTATGGATGTGGCCTGGGGCAGGGATGTCCTGAGAAATTTTAGGTGACTTACTGAAAACAATTTATAGAACTAAAATGTAAACTTTTAACAAGAACAATGTATCTTATTTACACAGACTGATTTCTAAAGACATTTGTTGTAGTTTAAAGACACATTACTTGGAGCATTAAGGTCCCTCTATTCTAGGAACTCCAACACTATGGAGTTCATAGAAAAGAGGGACATTAGATTATAAAAGAGGGAAGATGGATTTGGGCCCAAACAAAGGACTGTGCCTCTTAAATGGGGATGCTTGGGAGGTATAGTTCAAGCTTGACTATTTTCACATAATTTATATGTCAATATTATATTGTTTGTCAATTACTTGCTATAGTATATTCCAAATGTATAGTTGTAAAGCGCTGTGCAATACATATATATATATATATAAATTATAATAAGTTACACTTTAAAAGGACACACTGTTTTATGGGACAAGAAATCAACGCGCCATTACACCAGAGCAGAAGTCTTGTTCACAGGATACTGGGAGATAAGAAGATGCTCCAGTGTATATAGTACCAGGATGCAGAGGTAATCAGTGGATATTAAAATGGACAGAGGGTGATCAGGGATGTTTTAATGATCAGAGAGAATCTGGGATATTTAGAAAGAATAATGGGACTTACTGGACCATGGACATCTCCAGGAAATTCAATATAATTATAATAATTCATAATCCCATTGTACAGCGCTACGTAATCTGATGGCGCTATATAAATAATAAAATAATAATTCAAATTTTTTTGACACAAGGAATTGAGATAAATTTCCAAGTATAATATCGTTTAATGGTTGTAGGACCAGGGTTTATTTTTTTATTTCTAGAATAAATGATATAATGGGGCAGAGTAGCCATTAATGGATCACTATAGTTCCCTGCGGGTGCCCCCACCCTCGGGGTCCCACTACCGCCGGGCTGAAGGGGGAGGAAGGGGGTTAAACACTCACCTTTCTTAAGCGCTGGGGACTCTCCTCCTCCTTCGGTCATCATTGGCTGAATTCGCATGCACGGCAAGAGCTGCGCGCGCATTCAGCCAGTCCATAGGAAAGTATTCTCAATGCATTCCTATGGATGCTGGCATCTTCTCACTGTGAAAATCACAGTGAGAAGCGCCTCTAGCGGCTGTCATTGAGACAGCCACTAGAGGCTGTTTTAACCCTAATGTAAACATAGTAGTTTCTTGAAACTGTTATGTTTACAGCAGGCAGGGTTAATCCAGATGGACCTGGCACCCAGACCACTTCATTAAGCTGAAGTGGTCTGGGTGCCTATAGTGGTCCTTTAAATACAGATAGTATAAATAAAGGGAATCCAGATTCTAATGGAGGGGAGAAAATATTTGGGGTGACAAGGAGTTTTCAGGACATTTGATCCTAACAACTGTCACAACCCTCTCTCCACCATAAACTACTTCTCAAGCACTCCTGCATTCCTCGCCCACAATAAAGATGGCGGCTTGCGGGCTGAGAGCGACGTTAGCCTGGAAAGCATCGCTGGGCGGGGCAAGTGGAACGTTACCCTGGATGTGGGCGGGCCCTAGCTCGTTCCTATTTAAAGAACCCGCACGCTGCCGCTCCCACTTTGCACGGCCACCTGGAATCATGTCTTCAAGCAGGAAATTCTTCGTTGGGGGAAACTGGAAGCTGAATGGAGATAAGAAGAGCCTGGGGGAGCTCATCACCATCCTAAATAACGGCAAAATCCACGATGACACAGGTAGGAGGACACTATTAAATCATATGGTGAGATTATATTGAGAATAGTGAGATATGCATTATATTCTATTATAAAATATGTGCTGTAATAGCTGAGATGACCATTCCCCATAACACAGGGTGTACCAAACTACTGTTTCAGTGACTGTTTGCCAGCCAGGTTCATGGGGGTTTCTAATTACTTTACAGCTAGTTACTAGGTGTTTCCACACCCCTGCAATATATTCTGAGCCAGTTGTATAGTGAATATATAGCTTTATTATCAAATGTGCTCTTATTGGATATATTCTATTACTCCAGTTATTACAGCTAGTGTAATCCATTTGTGGAGTCCATTAATTTTATCAATATCTGTGACAGGTCCATATAGCCATATACTGTTAGTCTGTTCTGACTAGGGTCCCATATTAAGACTGGACCATGCCAGCAGGTTGGGTTGGCATGCTCTCCTATCTAGATGGTCTGTGGACTCTGGCAGTGAATCTGTTAATTAGTTTGTATTTTCCCCAACAGACTGTAAGAGCGGTTAACTGTGCTCTTGCAATAATGGTGCAACACAACATGTTGGGAGAAATGTTGAGCTACTGACAGTGTAGTGGGTACTGTCTACTACACGCTGGGTAGGTGTCACTCTAAAACAGTCCACCAACCCAAGACATAATAATTAGCTAAGAGTCTTCCCCCTGACCGAGTATTGAAACTCTGATCTTGGGACATGTGTGATTTCTGCCTCCTCCTAGCAGAGTATCGATGCTCTGATCCGGGAAGATACTGGGATACTGCCCCCTAATCTAAAGTACTGATGCTCTGATCTGAGGAGACGTTGATGTCCTGAGCTGGGGGAGACAGTGTTACTGCCCCCTCCTGGTAGATTAATGTCTAGGGAGGGGAGAGGGGCATTGGGTTACTCTCTCATGGCTATCTATTTGATAGTCCTAACCTCAACATCTGAGGAAAAGAAATTAGGGGTGATTATTTCTGATGACTTAAAGGTAGGCAGACAATGTAATAGAGCAGCAGGAAATGCTAGCAGAATGCTTGGTTGTATAGGGAGAGGTATTAGCAGTAGAAAGAGAGAAGTGCTCATGCCATTGTTCAGAACACTGGTGAGACCTCACTTGGAGTATTGTACGCAGTACTGGAGTCCGTATCTCCAGAAGGATATTGATACTTTAGAGAGAGTTCAGAGAAGGGCTACTAAACTGGTTCATGGATTGCAGGATAAAATTTACCAGGAAAGGTTAAAGGATCTTAACATGTGTAGCTTGGAGGAAAGACGAGACAGGGGGATATGATAGAAACATTTAAATACATAAAGGGTTTCAACACAGTAGAGGAGACTATATTTTAAAGCAGAAACTACCACAACAAGAGGACATAGTCTTAAATTTGAGGGGCAAAGGTTTAAAAAATATCAGGAAGCATTACTTTACTGAGAGGGTAGTGGATGCATGGAATAGCCTTCCAGCTGGAGTGGCAGAGGTTAATACAGTAAAGGAGTTTAAGCATGCCTGGTATAGGCATAAGGCCCGCTGAATGGTTTTTATCTGCTGTCACATTCTGTTTCTATAACCCCCCCACCCCCTCCCAGCTGAGTATAGAGGGCACCATTACCAACATGTAGGATGTTTAATCCGGCATGATGGTGCCCTGGGTAGTGACGATGCTCACATCAGAAGTGTGTGATTGTAATGGCTGCCTGTCTGTGTGATAGTCCGCACGTACATACAAGCTCTGCAGTTTCACATCCTTAGACATTACCCATGTCCCGCCCACATGCTGCAGCACAATGTCACCCTGCATGGCTTGCTAGCAAGCTCCCATTCTCTCAACGCCGCCTCACAATCCTCCGTCCTTTTCCCTGTTCCCCTCCCAGGATGCAATACTCCCTGATACTGTATCTGCTCCCCTCTCAGGATTCATTACCCCCCTGATACTGTATTTCTGCTCCCCTCTCAGAATGCAATATCCCTGATACTGTATCTGCTCCCCTCTCAGGATTCATTACCCCTGATACTGTATCTGCTCCCCTCTCAGGATTCATTACCCCCTGATACTGTATTTCTGCTCCCCTCTCAGAATGCATACCCCTGATACTGTATCTGCTCCCCTCTCAGGAGAATGCAATGATACTGTATTTCTGCTCCCCTCTCAGGATGCAATACCCCCTGATACTGTATTGCTCCCCTCTCAGGATTCTCCCTGTATTTCTGCTCCCCTCTCAGAATGCAATATCCCTGATACTGTATCTGCTCCCCTCTCAGGATTCATTACCCCTGATACTGTATCTGCTCCCCTCTCAGGATTCATTACCCCCTGATACTGTATTTCTGCTCCCCTCTCAGGATTCATTACCTCCTGATACTGTATTTCTGCTCCCCTCTCAGAATGCAATACCCCCTGATACTGTATTTCTGCTCCCCTCTCAGGATGCAATACCCCCTGATACTGTATTTCTGCTCCCCTCTCAGGATTCAGTACTCCCTGATACTGTATATCTGCTCCTCTGTGCCCCCACCCGCTTGCCCTTAGAATGAGGTAACATTGCTGGCAAGCTGAACCATGGACTCAGCCAATGAATAAACCAGTCAGATATTTTAAGTGACCTTTAACCCTGCCTGTCTGGGACAGCTGGGCACAGGGAGACCTTCAGAGCCATCCTAAAAACAGATGTAACCTTTAAATCTGCGCTGAGTGAAGGTCATGACTTGCTAACCTTTTCTGTAAGCTGAAAATAAACTGGGTGTCTAAAAATAGCTGGGGGCTTGGGGACTCAGACCGGGTCACATGCCCTTGCTGTAGAGACTGTCATTATAGGGGGCTGCATTTTATTCCTGTATGGTGGATTCAGTAAAAATGATGCTTTTTCACAGCAAGGATACATACCCCTTTCCCCCACAGCCATTCTATTGAAGAGGCTGAATGTACAGTAGTTATGTAACAACCATCATGTGGGTCATTATACTGCACAGTGGATATCTCCCACTTTACCCCTTTCTAATAGATCATAGCCTTATAAAATGGAGGTGACCTCTGCAGTAGTAAGACGTGGAGCTCTGGGGGTAATTCGGAAGATTAATCAATGTGCTGGGCTTCACTAAGCTATTGGCTAGGAGTTCACTAATTTTGCAGCCAGAGGGTTATTCCAGCTTGCAGAATGACTTTAAAAGCCGACTGTGCTGCTAAACTGGTTGCATGGATTCGTAACTCAGTAGAATTCAGCGGTTTCTTTTAAAATTAGGCATCTTTACCCTTGACCTAGTCTCTTAGCCTAAATGCCTCTTGTGGTGAACATGATGTGAAAAGAACTGAGTAAAAATGATGGATCACAAGCTATTGAGCTCTTACATGCAGATCAGACTCACAAACTGGCCAGAGATGTTCCGGTGGGCTGAGTCAGGCGAATGAGGAGGCCAGCATTAGACTTCCTCATATCAGGCTGTCTTGGAACTTTAGGCACTCAACCAATATGAGACAGCTCAGATAGTTCTAATTAAAATGCATGCCGTGGAGGTCAGACTCCTGGAGTTGGACAAGAGGGATTTTGGCCAGATTAGAATCCCCTGCTGGCCAACTCCATCCCAAGCAGGTGATGCTATTGGCTAAATTTTGCTGAAATGGAGAATAGTGATGTATAGATGGATTCAGATACTTTTTAATTTTGTCAGTTTATATCATTTTGTGTAAATCTGCACAATGGCAAAAAGGAAGTTTGTCCAGATATTAACACCAAAAATATATATTTTTGATGGGTGACGTGAATTACAATTTGTTTTGTGTTAGAGGTGGTCTGTGGCGCACCTTCCATCTACTTGGACTTTGCACGTCAGAAGCTTGATGGAAAGTTTGGAGTTTCTGCACAGAACTGTTACAAAGTCGCCAAAGGTGCTTTCACTGGAGAGATCAGGTATGGAACTGTGTGGTGTTGTAAGCCATGAACACTTGTAAAGATTTTGTCATTCTGATTTGGTACTTCCTCTCCTCTGCAGCCCAGCTATGATTAAAGATGTTGGGGCCACCTGGGTGATTCTTGGGCACTCTGAGAGGCGGCATGTGTTTGGCGAGTCCGATGAGGTGAGTTGTGCATAATTCTGACAATGACGCAAAGAATAACCTACCCTGGTCTTCTTACAACTGATTCTCAATGGCAGTCTTGCAAGATTCGTCTCTTCCATCTCCTGTATATCAGTCTTGCTGAAGCTCCAAAGCTGATCTTCCTCAAACATTTTCTAAACAGAAAGATAGCCAGGTAACCTGCAGACCAGCTCATCAAAAACGTTAGCAATAATTTGATGTAGAATGGTTTTGCAAGCTTTCTTAATGTATTGAAAAGGTTCTTCAATGACTGTTCAATACAGACTGTAAACGTCTTGGTTTGTAGTGGTGAATTACCCCACAGGACAACAGCATCCACTGCAACTGTCAGGGTTTTCAAGGTAAATCTTAATCTGTACTCCTTTTTTTTATTTTATTTTTTGTCCTACAGCTGATTGGCCAGAAAGTAGCACATGCACTGTCAGAGGGTGTTGGTGTGATTGCCTGTATCGGGGAGAAGTTGGACCAACGTGAGGCTGGGATCACAGAGAAAGTGGTTTTTGAACAGACAAAAGCCATTGCAGGTGAAGTCACAGACCTCTGGTCTGTTCTTTTAACTCTTTGCATCCTGGATGTTTTGTTGGATGATGGATGATCTCAGACCAAATGCAATTCTTTAACTTTTTTTTTTTCTTCCCTTTTGTAGATAACGTAAAGGACTGGAGCAAAGTGGTTCTTGCATATGAGCCAGTCTGGGCCATTGGCACTGGCAAAACTGCCACCCCCCAGCAAGTGAGTAACTCTTTTTGTTTGTTTTTTGTGACATTGACGGCATTTCATGTTTAGAGGAATGCTATGAGAAAGCCCTCTCCAGTAATAATGTAGATCATATATTCACCTAATTTAATTCTGCCTATTTGCATTTTTTATTTTGCCATTCTTCTCATCACAATCAGTGATGTAGGTTACTTCTTCTAAATTTAAATGACCCTGTTACTTGGATGGCAGCAATAACGGTCACATGATAGCCTAATGTATAGACCAAGTCACATGTGCCCTATCCCAATACCAAATGTTTCATTAATATGGCAAAAAAGTCTATGCTTACTTGTCCACATTCTCCATGTGTGAGACTCATTGTCTTTTCTTGTTGTTCTTCAGGCCCAGGAGGTGCATATCAAGCTCCGTGAGTGGCTAAAAACCAATGTTTCCGAAGATGTTGCAAAAACTGTCAGAATCATCTATGGAGGTATGTCTTGATACACATTTACTTCCTTGATTCCCTCTTCCTAAATGTTTAAGGGGTGCCGACATGCCACCTAAAAAGGCAATATTGGTTTCTGTTGTGGTGGTTTTTAGGCAGTCTGCAAGCTGATTAATCCATACGCTTGCTGGAGTTTGCAAAGCTAAATGTATTGATTGTGTTTTGCCACATGCCTGAAGGGTACACTGACCTTCTGAACAGACCTTTTATAGATACTTTATGGTCAGGATCTGATGGAACAAAGCACGTTGTGGTTGGGGATGAACGTTGATTCTACCACCATCTTGACTTGATGTTGGGTATTTTAGATAATGCATTTCCTTTGTCTAAATCCCTTTTTGCTACTTTAGGAATATAGCCTGTTTTAATATTACATTCAAAAGTAGTTCATTTAATTCTTGAACCAGTTACGGGTCAGTTTCCAGATGGAGACAATTCACTAACCCATAGGAACAAATAATGGATATGTTCTTCTGTTAGAAAGTATACCCTCTAGTGGTGGAAAGGACAATATGAAGCCATTTTCTTTTTAGTGCAGGATTAGCATGCAAATCTACACACTGACTCTAGAACAGGAGTGTGGCTGCATCATTTCATGTGATCTTAGGTTGTTGTCCCTGAACCCATATGATGGGTGTTGCTGGGCAGTCTAACAGTTTCATGACTGTGGGTCGTAGTTGTGGCACAAACAATTCACCCGAAAGCAGACTTTAACTAATTGCGCTTCTCCCCTAGAGTTGTCATAAATTTGTATCAGTTGTTTGGGACACAAATATCTTCTCTTGCCCTAGGTAGCTGCCTATAACTTTACTATAAGAGCATGAAAATGAAAAAGTTGCCTAGGAAGTTCTTGTGAAGATATCTGCGTTTTTATTTTCTTTACAAATGGTTTGTCCCTTGTAAATAGAAGATGTTAAGATTTGCTGATCTTGATATGTCCTATAATTCTTTACCTGGAGAACCAAAGATTGGTTTTGGTTCCTCAAATACACACAATCCCCTCCATCACACGACTGTAATTCATCTAAATTCCTTTGCAGTATAAACTGTATATGCATAGAAATGCTTCCATTCAGTGATCAGATCAGAGAAATTTCAAACATCCAAAGGTTTGTTTGCGCCCCACTAATTGTTTTGTTGCCCCTTTCAGGTTCTGTCACTGGTGGTACTTGCAAAGAACTGGCATCACAGCCTGATATCGATGGCTTCCTGGTTGGAGGAGCTTCACTGAAACCAGAATTTATTGACATCATAAATGCCAAGCATTAACTGTGTTCATTTAGTGTCCCCTTTCCCATCTCTCCTGAACGGCTTAGGGCGGGGGTGGTAAACGTTGGTCCTCCGAGCTGCATGTCCACAACGGTTTCTTCTCTTGGTGCACGTCCATCTGGTGTCTAGCAGCAGACTAGCGTTAACAAACCCTACCATAGAACGAAAACATACTCACTGTGTCTGTAGCTCAATCTGTCCTGGGTATTGTGTGGGGGGAATCGATGTTCCTGTAAAATATAAAATTAAGTTAAACAAATGAGCTCTTGTGTCTGTTTATTTTGGGGGCTGATGCTTGTGGGGAACAGTGTTGAGGAGCACTGCAGCTCATATTCCAACCAACATAGTTCCAGTGTCCAACAGCGCAGGGCTTGGAACTTATGGCAGAGAGCAGGCATAGGCAACCTTTGGCACTACAGAGTTTTGGACTACACCTCCCATGATGCTTTGCCAGCATTATTGGGTACGAGCATTATGCGGGATGCAGTCCACAACATCTGGAGTGCTGAAGGTTGCCTACCCCTGGGGCCTAGAGCATAAGTACATATTTGTACCTCCCCTCCCCATCCCCCCTTCCGCTTGGGAAATATCCATTTGAGACAGTTCATACCTCAAAAGAATGGAGATTACAGGTCCACCAGCCCATTTAAAGTCCTGTATTGAGCGGAGATGGCAACGGTCCTCGTGTTATTTATCTGTGCCTTATTTGTACAGTACTGTGCCAGTTCCACCTACTTATGTTTTAATACAGAGGAATGAACCCACCAATATATTATTGGCATAGATTTGTTTGCATTTTAAAATGTTACTCTTCTGTTGGACAGAAAGCAGGAAATTGTAAAAGCAGTGGTTGTTTGTAAAATAGTGAGCACTGTGTCAAATATCGGCATTAAAATGCCTCCCAAAAATTTTTTTTGGGGGGAAAGCAGGATAGGGCCTTCAGATTTTACTATAACGAAATTAAAATAAAATGGCATGTATTACGATATTTAATGGTTATTAGTTTTACTTGAGACCTTTAAAGTATTAAATCCACTTCTTGCATAGGTAGAGGTACCTGGTCACTTTCTTCTTAGTTTTCTTATTACTGCAGCAGATTGCAAAATTGCACAGCTACATTTAGCCCACACCTTCCCTCAAAATAAATATATAAAGAATGGGCAAAACCTTGATCGTGGCATTTGTAAAACTATAGCTATATCCACACCTAGACACTGCGGAACCCTAAAGCACTTAAGCGTTTTGAAAAGCTTTGTGAGAAGAGTGTGTCCTATATATTATCTTTCACAAAATGCAGATTTTAATCGAAATTGACACTTTTCTAACTTAACCTTGTTATACCCCCAGTCGGTCAACTGGTCCTGTTTCTTCCTGGTTAGATGAACTCAAAAGGCAGCAATTGTCCAGAGCACCTACACTGCAACCTTCTCTATTGCCCATGTAACTGCTTGTACTTCTGCTGAGCGGCTGTGCAGCAGTGCTTTCTGGGAGTTATGGTGCAACTGTTGGCTTTCTAACTAACCTGCAGAAACCTAGTCTGTGCAAGACTTTCTGGTACATGGTGAGCAATTCTATAGAATGCCAAGTGATCATCACTCATGTCACCTCCTGTTGTTCGTTAGTGTCTCTTATACAAAATTCAGCACTCTTACTCATTCTCTAAACAGCAATTTTTTTTATTTTTTATTTAACACCTAACCTAGGCAAAAGATAATGGGGTTACATTATATGATCATAGATTGCATAAGCCTGCCACAATGTCAATATACCCCATTCTTGGCAGGTCCTACTGTAGCAGCCTAATGCTTGCTCTTACAAGATTAATCCACTTACCTGGGAAATGCTTCCTCCTGGGACTCTCTGCAGGTCAAGCTAAATAGGGCCGTGGAATGAGGAATGTGACAGGGGTGCAAAATTAAAGAGTTGGCCTGGACTTCAAAATATATAAATGAAACCAAGAGGGCTGCACTCACCTGAACATGCATACATTATAGGGTGCTACTGGGGCCAATTCATACAAAATCCAGCGCTTTCACTAAACTGCAATTTGACATCTTACAGAATCTAATAGTTTTACAAAAAAAAAAAAACACCTAGGCAAAAAATAATGGGGGTTTAATTACAGTATGCCATCATACATTACTAAAACCTGTCACGTCAATATACCCCATTCTTGGCTGGTCTGCTCTAGGGCTAGATTTGGTTTGTTTTTTGGTTTTTATAAAACCTTAATATCTGTAAGCTTAGAAGTTGTTTAGTGAGTGAGTGCTGGATCTTGTGTATTATATACTGTATATATTATATAAAAAAAATATTCCATTTAATTTGAATATCCTAAACCCATGTTTGGTTTATTAATTAAACCACTTGTACAAAATGGAGATGGTGGAAAAATAGAATTGGAGAATTTTTCCAATATTCTCTTCTTGTCTTTAAAATATGTAAGACTTAAAACTTTCAAATCCCCAAAGCTGTGTACTATCTCCATTAAAATGGATCTGTTACTATTCAATATTACATAAAGATGGATTCTTTATAAAGTTCTGATCAAGACTGCGCTGGAGTTTCACTGAAATTACAACACAGTCAAAATATATCACGAGGCTAATAGGACGGCAGCATGAAGATATATAATTCTTTAGTAAGTTCTTTTCTGGGGTGGTTTGTGACCTAAGTGCATAATGTATACCTTAACATTTAGCTTTAAGTCCCACTTACCATCCAATAAACTGTATATTAGAGCCTGATGTTTATCCTTGTGGTTTTAGGTATTGAGAGGATCACCTGGTCTCTTAAAATTAAATTGAGTAGGAAAGTAATTGAAGATGATGTGGCCCATTATTTAATTGCCCCACCTCCCAAAAATTTTTAGGATATTTATGATGTATTTGTTACATTGTTGACCGGCAGCAAGCTTGTTTCATCTTTATTAACTTTTTATTTTTAATTTTTTTTTATTTTATATATATTTTTTTTTTTTTACGTGTACCTGCCTTATATAAGTTTGATGATACTTATGATTCAGGCCTTGGTACTGTGTCATCATCAATATCATAAATATTTATTGCGTTTCTTGAAATCTTAATAAACCCTCCATCCCGTATTATCAGACTGCCACTAGATGGACTTCCGTGTTCTTAGAACACGAAAAGCGTGTTAGAAGACGCTGGATGTCCTCACGCTATATGAGGACCTCCAGTGTCGCCGAAATCCCCATAGGAAAACATTGAATAATGCTTTCCTATGGGGAGGTCTAATGTGCGTACGTAGGCGGAGCCTGACCAAGCGTCGAGGGACATGGGCGCTCGACTCCAGTAAGTCACTGAAGGGGTTTTAGCCCCTTTAGCAACTTCGGGTGGGGGGTGAGGGGCACTACACGGTCCTGCAGTGCCAAGAAAACTGTTTTCCTGGCACTGAAGAACCCCTTTAACCCTGCAAGGTAATTATAAAAACTGCAATAATTACACTTGCAGGGTTAAGGGTGGTTGGAGTTCGCACCCAGACCACTCCAATGGGCATAAGTGGTCTGGGTGCCTGGAGTGTCCCCTTAGATTTGAAATTAATCTTATATTGTGACTTGGTCAGTAGCTCAGGGTGTGCCTTGAGTCATTAACTAAAAGTTTTATGGGTCCACGTAGACTATACAGTTCTGTGTGTTCCATTTTATCTTGTGAAATCCATATACAATGGATCAAGGCTTGCAGGCGTATTCACTGAAGTGAGAGTTCAAGGTGAATTCAATGTGAATTTCAAGTTTCAGATCAAAATAACCGGAAAAATTATCTAAGGTAGCTATGCTTTTAGTTTGGCTACCCAGGCCTTAAATTTGAAATTCATTTTGAATATTCTCACTTTAGAAATAACCCTGTTGGTTTTCCCGACCCCTTACCGGGGTATTTACTAACTTGAATATAGTTGGAAATTAAAACGACTTCATGCATTTTAGCATATTTGATGTTGTTATAACTCAAATTAGCATTTTTTTTGGCTTTGCATTTATTTAAAGCCTTTTTTTTCTCTTTATATTTTTTTCAAAAATGCTATTTAATGTCTTTTTGTTGTGATAGCAATGTGGTGGCATTTAGGTAAGTGTATTTTTTTTTTTATTGCTTTTTTGTGATATAACAGTTGAACATTTCAAACAGCGAGGCTCGCAGGCTTCTGAGAATGATAGGAACACTTAGGATGTTTACATAGTGTGCGTTAGACTCTCGGGTCTTTTTGAGTTAAAGGACCACTATAGTGCCAGGAAAACACTCGTTTTCCTGGCACTATAGTGCCCTGAGGGTGCCCCCACCCTCCGGGTCCCTCTCCCGCCAGGCTGGATGGCGAGGAAAGGGGTTAAACTTACCTTTATTCCAGCGCCGGGCGGGGAGCTCTCCTCCTCCTCTCCGCCTCCGATCCTCCTCTTCGGCTGAATGCGCATGCGCGGCAAGAGCTGCGCGCGCATTCAGCCCGGTCTCATAGGAAAGCATTTACAATGCTTCTATGGATGCTGGCGTCTTCTCACTGTGATTTTTCTCGTATCTTTGAGACGTATGGGTTTTTAAGTAGTGGGGCATATGTATCTCTGTTCGGGTTGAAATGGGTGGTGTCCTGAGGGTGTTCTGTTAGGGTTTGTGGTTCTTTCCAGGTTTATTATAACATGTTTGGGTCGGGTGTGTCCCCTCACAGTGGGGTTTGTGGTGGCGATGTTAGGTGTTCTTGTGTGGGGTTTTCCTTATGCTATTTGTTCGTGTCAGTTGCTCGGGTTTGTGCTGTTATCTTTTTCTATGCATTATGTTCGATTGCTTCGTGTGATGTTAGTCCCTCATATGTCCAGTTGATTTTCAGGTTTTGTTGTTGAAGGGGGGGGGGGTGTAGGTTTGTTCCCCGAGTTTGGTGTGGTTATTCATGTTATGTCAGTCTAACTCGTGAGATTGGGGGGGTTCTATTGAGTGTATGGTTGGTTCCTGAGGGGTGCAATGTGGTGGCATTTAAACAGGAAAACAGGTAGTGCCAAAATAAACAATAAATGCAGAGATAAGAAAAATTATAAAATCTCTAAAGGCACAATGACCAAAAGTCTATATTAAAGTCCAAAGAAATACCAGATGATAAGATACAATCTCAAGATAGAAGGTAATCCGAGTTCAAATATTCGTAAAATGTTTGAGGGACAATTCAGTTTAGTAGCAGCATATGAGAAAACATAAAACAGAGAAACCAATAGTGCAATATGATAAAATAAATGTAGCGAGCACCACTAAAATGTAAAAATGCCAACTAACATGTAATAGAGCTATAACCAGCTCCAGGTAAAACAGCATGCAGTGGTATTGTATTCCCACTTACAGGATATTCTCCAGGTAAAAGTTGGCAGCAGGATGATGATATGATGGAGCATAAAAAGAAATGCCAAAAGTGTACTCTATTTAGGTTAGTATACATGCAAAATATAACAATATACTTACTATAGGTGGAGCAGACTAACTGCTCTTTGATTTAGGCATAGATGGTATAATCCCCTCCTAGGATTATTTTGTGGGTTAAGTAGAGAAGTAGGATGCCAGGTATAAGGTAAAAACTGATAAATAAAACTAAAAAGTATATGGCTTTCAACAAACAGTAGGGTAGCCAAAAATACTTTATTCAAAATAAAACCAAAAATTACATTTACACTTATTATGTTTGTATTACTTTGAAAAGACCACAACGATTTGTCCTGTAATGAAGGAATCGTAACAGACGGACTATTTATACGTGTGACATAGATCTTAGAGTACTTGCACTTTGATAAAGCCTGTGGAAGAAATATGTTGTTGTTTTGGGGTAATTTAAATTTTGTATTTTGATCTGTTGTGACAAAATGATAAGGGTTCTGCCAGCATTGTCTTTCTTTCATGCTATATTCTAAAATTTGAATTTACTTTGAATTTCTGACAAATTTAACTTTCGTGATAAATGCTGCGTGTCTCCACGCCCCCACAGCTGGTGGTTTTATTGGTTGACTGTTTGGGAGGGATGGTAATCCAATCAATCATGCTATGATTTGCATTGTCCCGTTTCTTTTCACTACACCCTCCATCATTCCACCTGCCTCCATCATTCCACCTGCCTCCATCATGCCTTCTGATGTTCTATGGATTCTCAATGCAGCCCTGTTCGTCACATTCCTGATTGGGTTAGTAACTAACAGCTACGTGTTGGGGGTGAACTTTAAGGACTGGGTCCATTCTGGCTCTTTTGCATCCTCTGACCACTTAATTTGTTATCTGGCCTTATCAAACCTCTTTCTGCAATGGTGGGCAGGGGCAGACTGGATATGCCTCCTCTTTCTGATCAATGGGTGGTTCTGTAATATAACCTATGCCCTGAAAATGATATCTCTTTCCTACAGCCTGTTACTGAGTGCCTGGTTGTGCATTTTCTACTGCGTCCGGATTGTGGTTTTCAGAAACTGCCTCTTGCGCTGGATTCAAAGACACACCCAGAGTTCCTATCTGCACATTATCTTGTTTTCCATCCTATTGTGCATGATTATGGGATTGCCATTGGCATGGTATGGTCCCGACAATGCCGTATTTACTAACTCCACAGACAGCATAAGGCATTACTCTTATATAAATGTGTACCGAGTTTTCCTTCTGACAGTTGGGTACACAATGCCGCTCTCTTGGGTGATACTTTCGGCTGCTTTCATATTGAGGTCCCTTGCAATACACGTGAGACGAATGCGCGTCACCATGGAAACCGGACGCAAAACATATGTTAAAGCCCATTTGCGTGCCTTTTACACGGTGCTATGTTTGCTACTACTCTACTTTGTAATATTTGTACCCTCCATTCTAGTCTTAACTGATATTTTCCCACAGGGTGACCCTAAACTAGTTACCTGTCACTTAGTGATAATTATGTATTCACCTTTGCAGAGTATCGTGATGCTTAGAGGGAACAGTAAATTAAGGAAGGCGTTTAATGAAACTATAAGAAAACTGCTCCGATTGAAAGTTTAAAATGTCTGCCTGCTAACACAAGGACATCGGATACTCACAGACTAACTAATAGAGACTAGCTACTCCCACCAGAAAGAATAATTACCACAAGAATTAAAAAATCGGAATTAACTGTTCACATGGAAATTAACAGCCAGGGCCTCTCCTTATTATATCGATTTATTTCAGACTCAAACCTCCTATTGTGACCACTCACACTTCTGATAATGGCTTCCAGGCTGGGCTTTTGGGTGCCAGTGACTTTACCAAGTCCACCATATTGCACACACCTCAAGTACACTAACAGGTTCATTCACTAAGGTGAGAAATGAAAATTTATTTCAAATATGAGCCCAAAGTAGCTGAAGTGATAAGGTAACGAGTCTTTTGAAGTTTTCTAGTTCTGCTTTTCTGAACTTTATTTGAAATAGAGAACGGCTGCTCACATTCTGCAGTGAGTACATCTTGCCTCATTGATTAGCGAGAATGGTAATGGCTGTCAATATTCTGCAGTGAGAACATCTTGCCTTATCAAAGGGAGGAAACAGTTATGAATTCGAATTCTAAGAAAGAGAAAAGTTTCCCACATTCTATGGCTCCAGCACTTGCTCACATCCAACAGAGAGAACAGGCAGACCTGCAAGGCCCAACATGCAGTACATTCCAGGGTTCCTAGAATTGTTCTCCAGAGATGGAATTGGGCCATACTGAATGGTGTGCACATCCCATAAACGTCTGTACAGCAAGGCGCCGTGGGACCATAACATGCCCCTTTGTAGTTGATTTCTATGTAATTAACAAGACTTTCATATAGTTTATTTGTCTGTGTGCGTGTTTTAACATTTGTGTGTTTAACATTTTCATCACTGGTTTACTTTCATTGAAAAGAAAAAAAAAACCTATAAACTTTTTTTTAAATACATATACAGGGTTAATTTTTTAAACCTGGAAATGTTAGGAATTAGCTGGGGTGGTAAAATATCTGATTTGGGCAAAAGTTTACATTTCTGGTATTTGGGCCTAAATTTGCAAGGTTTTAACTCATGGATTGCTGTTCTTTTGTTAAAAAAATATTTATATGTATTAAAAATTATATTGATGAAAATGCAAATAATGCTTTATTTTTCTTCGACTTTCTCATCCAATGTAGTAAAAAAAAAAAGAGGGGAGGGAGTGTATCACTTGTATTGGAAAACATCATAAAGCAGAGAGTTGGTCTAAAGTTAGGAAGGTACTCAGCTGATGTAGAACTACAACACCCATGATGCATTGCCAGCTAAGGCTCCACCTTTTGTCCATTTTGTACTGGGGATAGTCTGAAATGGAGATATTATGGATGACATTTATCGGGGTCATTATATGAATTTGGGGTTCAGGGGAGAGGTGGGATCAGCTCAGTTTGGTTGAGGTGGGATTATCTTGGTAGAAGGCATGAAGTGGGCTCCACAAACATGGCGGCATGTCACCCGAATGGGCTCCACAAATATGGCGGCATGTCACCCGAATGGTCTCCACAAACATGGCGGTACATCACGCGATCAGACGCCATTTCCAACTGAATAGGCGCCGCCCGTTAAATCACGCTAAAACACTCTTCCTGCTGGTCTCCATGGTAACCAAGGAAGCGCACCCTCACTTCCTGGAGGACTCGTTGCCATAGAAACACATTGCGCTGCACAGTAAGTACAGGCAAATATACTCTCTGTCCCAAATACCGAACAATCCCCCAAATACCCACCGAACCCCATCTTTCCATAGCAACCCCCAGACTGATAACACCCCACTTTATAATAACCCCAATACTGATAACACCCCACTGTATAATAACCCCAATACTGATAACACCCCACTGTATAATAACCCCCAGACTGATAACACCCCACTGTATAATAACCCCCAATAATGATAACACCCCACTTTATAATAACCCCCAGACTGATAACACCCCACTGTATAATAACCCCCAGACTGATAACACCCCACTATATAATAACCCCAATACTGATAACACCCCACTTTATAATAACCCCCAGATTGATAAAACCCCACTTTATAACACCCTCCAGACAGATAACATCCCACTTTATAATAACCCCCAGACTGATAACACCCCACTTTATAATAACCCCAAGACTGATAATACCACACTATATAATAACCCCCAGGCTGATAATACCCCACTATATAATAACCCCAATACTAATAACACCCCACTTTATAATAACCCCAAGATTGATAATACCCCACTATACAATAACCCCCAGACTAATAATACCCCACTTTATAATAACCCCCAGACTGATAATACCCCTACCTTGTAATAACCCCAAGACTGATAATACCCCACTATATAATAACCCCAAGACTGATAACACCCCACTATATAATAACTCCTGGCCTCTACCCATAACCAATGATCATGTTCTCTGTCATCGTGGCCTCTGTACTATTTCACAGAGCATTAGCAAAGGCTCTCACTTTCCCTACTGCTCCCCATTATTCTCATTGTATATTCCAACTTTTCCTCCTAGAACATGTCTGATGCTGAGGATGAAGTGCTTGAGGAAGAGGAGCAGGAAACAGAGGAACCACAGTCGGGGGCCAATCCAGATGTGACACTGGATCCTGACGACAATGAGGAGGAAGAAAAGGATAAAGAGGAAGAGGGGGCAGAGGAGCCAGAACCAGAGGAGGAGGTGAGAAGAAGGGTTATTTTGGAAAATGATAAGTGCATAGCTTTATAAAAGCAATGCACTACGTAGAGCAAACAAGGAGATCTTAGTGATTTTCTCACCTCTCTATTAAGCCCTTAAGGACACATGACATGTGTGACATGTCATGATTCCCTTTTATTCCAGAAGTTTGGTCCTTAAGGGCTTAAAATATATAGCTGCAGCTACTGAACACAATAACTCCTTGAGTGACCAGAGTAAATTAGAACATTATGGTCTTGTTATAACTTAAGATAGATTTATATCCATGCAAGAGTCTTATTGAACCATAGTACACCCAGATCTTCATGTCAGAGATTTCCTCAACCTTATTTCATAGTATCTAGATGCCAATGCCTTAATAAACCATTATCTGCATGCCTGGGTCTTTACTACTTCCCACGTCACCATACTTTTGTATGCTAAAACTTCTTGAAGTGTAGAACACCCTTTACATGCACTTCAAGAACTTAAACTTGCTACACTCTTATGCGTGGGTCACTGTTGAACCTTAGTACATAATTATTTCCGCCCTGAGCCTTGATGAAGCTTTGTGCATGCTCATCGCCTTGTCAAGACATGCTTGTCTCCATGCTAGAGCTTTCCTTAACCTAAGTACATATGTTATCTCTATACCAGAGGCTCAGGCTGAACCTACACCCCCATATTACCAAACTTACCCTAGTCAATTTATAACTCCAATCAGAACCTTGTTGTATGTAAGGATACCCCATACTAATATTGCCAGAAACTGGTGAACCTTGGTAACCCCATATTTCCAAATCTCCCAGCCAGGAAATGTGTTCCTCCATACTAGAGGTACATTCTCAGTGTTTAACATTTTATTGGGGGTACATATAAATAAATCCATGTTTGATTAGGTTATGGGGTGTTTATTGCAGTTTAGTGTTTTGTGTTTGACTTGATGTCACTATTTACTTTTGTTTTGGACATAGCTCCCACACGTTCCCATCACAGAGGAAATGCTGAAGGAAGGGTTGTCACTACTCTGTAAGACAGGAAATGGATTGGCTCATGCCTTCGTCAAACTGGAAATTAAAGAAAAGTAAGTATCAGTAAAAGCATCTGAGGGTCATCCATAACAGGCTAGCCCCTTGCCATTAGAATTACATTCCATATCTCACTCACCTATAGCTCACTCACTCTGTACTTTACTTGAACACTACATCTGCTTTACTCACCCTGTACTTTACTTAAACTCTACACCTGCTTTACACACTCTGTACTTTACTTAAACTCTAATCCTTATTTTATATCTTATTCTCAATTATTTATATATGTTAAATAGAGGATCTCTTACTAACTATATAAAATTATGGCTAAGATATCTGTATGGTTAGCCCTACTAAGTTCTATGCTTTAAGACATTATAGTGGTAAATAAGGGAACCACTCACGGTTACAACCCTGTACTTTACTTAAACTCTACACCTGTTTTACACACCACACTCTGTACCTTAGTTAAACTCTACACATGATGTACCCACTCTGTGCCATGCCTTAGTTAATCTCTACACCTGCTTTACACACTCTGTACCTTAGTTAAACTCTATACCTGCTTTACACACTCTGTACCATAGTTAAACTCTACACATGATTTACCCACTCTGTGCCTTAGTTAAACTCTATACCTGATTTACCCACTCTGCGCCTTAGTTAAACTCTATACCTGCTTTACACACTCTGTACCTTAGTTAAACTCTACACCTGCTTTACCCACCTCTGTGCCTTAGTTAATCTCTACACCTGCTTTACCCACTCTGTGCCTTAGTTAAGTGTTCTTGCATAGCAAGACCACTTAATGTTATCTCACATATATATATATTATTATTATTAAGTGTTCTTCCATAGCAAGCCCACTTAATATTATCTCACATATATATAATTCTTATTATAGCCAAATTTACCACACTAACTCCTCCCACAGTTTTTACACTACATAGACCGTAATATACCGAAATGTGCGGATTGTTCCCGATTGGTGTGCTCTTACATTGTGAAACATTTCGCTGAATGGTTCACGGAATATCGTCGTTCTTGTGGCGAAATTGGTCCCATAGTAATGAATGGCAAAATGTTCAAAACTAGAGTGGGAGCTGGCAAAAGCTGAAAAATCAGGACATGATTTCTAAACTGCCACCACTCCCTCATTTTCAAGCCCACCTACACAAATCTTATATCAAAACGTTCAGCTATCCCTGCTGCCACTAAAAATGTCCACGGCTAAGCCATAGTCCTGATCGTTTTCACAATATGACCATTTGTTTGCAACTCACGCTGTCCATTGACATTCATTGAAACTCCACTCTAGCCAGCTAAAATTTGAAGGGCAATTTCTAAACTGTGACTGTGCCCTCATTTTGAATATTTCAGAGACATACTATGCATCAAAATGTAGGTCTGGGTCTTGTGATTCTCACAATATAAAGCGCTTTGCTGTAGGATGTATAGTTTTTAAAACCGTTTGAACATGGCAACTGCCAAAATACTCTGACCTGTGCCAGGCTGGAGCAGCAAGTGATGTCATAGACAGTGCCTTTTGTACACCTGCTAAGGTTTTTATAAATGTATGTTTTAACCTCTTCAGGACCGTCATCGGCATTTTTCCATTGCCGACCGGTGACAGTCCTGAACCGTCCTAATGGTCCAATGTACTTACCCGATCGCCGTCGTTCCCCCGGCGGTGATCGGTGTTGCTCCCGTTGTGGGGAGACTGCCTGCAGCCCAGACAGTCTCCCCACGGCAGATTAGGATCCCTGTGGCCATGTGATCGCTCAACAGAGCGATCACATGGTCACAATGTGTCTGCCTGCAGGGGGACTGCCTGTGCTGACAGGCAGTCTTCCTGCATGTGTAAAATCATTAAAAGAAATAACTGTTAATGTTAATAAAAAAATTCTAATTATATATGTGTATATAAATATGATAGATAGACATTTAGTATATCTATATAATATATATATATATATACATATACACAGTCAGGTCCATAAATATTGGGACATCGACACAATTCTAATCTTTTCGGCTCTATACACCACCACAATGGATTTGAAATGAAATGAACAAGATGTGCTTAAAGTGCAGACTTTCAGCTTTATTTTGAGGGTATTTACATCCAAATCAGGTGAACGGTGTAGGAATTACAACAGTTTGTATATGTGCCTCCCACTTTTTAAGGGACATCTATAAACCTTAGTTCATCTATAAACCTGCTTTACCCACTGTGTGCCTTAGTTAATCTCTATACCTGCTTTACACACTCTGTACCTTAGTTAAACATTACACCTGCTTTACACACTCTGTACATTGTAAACATGCTTTTTCTCTGGACATTAGTTTCATACACCCTGCAACTTATGTAAACACGCTGCATTTGACCTACTCAGACATTTTACCTTTTTACACTTAAAATTAAAAATTTTACACTTTCAACCTTATTTAAATACTCTTCATTTTACATTCCCTCTGCACTTTACTTACACACGCTAAATAATTAATTCCTTTTTCATATAATTGTAGCGCTCATACACGCACATTTTTTATATGACCTATTTCTAAGTCGCTGGATGATGTTGTGAAGCTGCCCATGGTTTATTTTTACCTTATTCTATATGTTATTACCTACCGGTACTTGTTTCGATTAGTGTCACACTACTTACACATTGTACACCTTATCTGCATGCAGACTGCACCTTATACTATGAGCCTTATTTACACATTCTGTACCTTTTTTCTGCACTTTACCACACTCTTCATCTCACTTTCACTCTTCACCTCACTTAGACACACACTCTCTCTACCTTATTGACACACACAGCACCTTATTTGCAGACAGTGTGCACCTTATTAAACTTACTTACAAGTATGTTACACCTTATTATCTTCCACATACCACAGAGTCCTGCAACCATTATATTATCTCCATACATCACTTGCTCTGCCGTTGTGTTGTACACAAATTGCAGACACTTGCCCTACAGTCTAGAATCACCAATATCTATGTATATGCTGCTGATAGTGCCCCCAGTCCACTACATAATCGTGTCATGCAGCCAGTCTTTCTAATATTGCAGTATATCACTGCCATTTCCATGGTGGTGTATCCAAGTTGTGCCCTGGATTCTATGCTTCTAATATATCAGTGTATATATGGCAGTGTCCCTGGATAGTTCTCTCAACTACTGCTCAGGACTGCAGAGTAACCCTTGTTACTGTTCTCATTATTGCCTCTAACATATGGTCTAGCCAATCAATATCTTCTGTTTTGCATTACAGAGAGCTGACTGACATCTCGCCTGTACAATCCTTTATTCACCTACGATATGTGGATTTTTCCCAGAATGCTCTACGGGACATCTCCCCCGTAGCGGCTCTTACTCACCTTTTAAGTCTGCGGTTGGATCAAAATCAACTTCTCAATGTGGCAGGGTTGGGAGAGCTTCCTTACCTGCAAATTGCCAGCCTGGCACAGAATCGCATTCAAACATTGCAAGGACTGGCACTGCCACGCCTGGAATCACTCAACTTAATAGGTTAGTATTGGTCTCAACTGGATCTGCGTTTATATATACAGTATATACATGTGTGTGTATAAACTTGGAGATGATATTATGCTTCACTGTTATGTATCTTTTATATTACACAATATTTTAGGTTAGGGTTAGTGTTAAAGGGACACTAAAGTCACCCAGACCACTTCAGCTCAATTAAGTGGTCTGGGTGCCAGGTTCCTCAGGTTTTAACCCTTCACATGTAAACATAACAGTTTCAGAGAAACTGCTATGTTTACATTTGGGGTTAATCCAGCCTCTAGTGGCTGTCTTCCGGACAGCCACTAGAGGCGCATCTGCGACGCTTGAGGCGAATTGAGAAATGCTTTCCTATGGACACTTTGAATGCGCGCGCGGCACTTGCCGCCCATGTGCATTTGGCTTCAGTGACGTCGGACGGGGAGGAGAGGTCACCACCGCCTGGCGCTGCATTAAGGTAAGCTGCTGAAGGGGTTTTAACTGCTTTGTTTTCCTGACACTATAGTGATCCTTTAAGGTAGTGTAGAGGTTAATGTTAAGGTACAGTAGGGGTTAAACTGTAGTGCCCTATTGGACACTATAGGTTTCTGGCCCCCAAATGCAGGGTGTTAAAAAGGCAAATTTACTTATGTTTTCTACCTCGCTGCGCCAGTTTCTGTGTCTGGCACGGCCTCCTTGGTGAGATCATCAAAATCAATGATCGTAAATGCTTTCCCAGAGGAAATCATTGGGAGGCTAGTGGCCATGCGCTCCAAAACACTGAAAATCAGATGGTCTGGTGGTTTTGTAGAACAACAATGTTTCTAGCTGCAGGGTGAGGGAGAGGGGATGTTCAATATATATGTCCTAGTGCTACTTGAGATTAGCATAAATTGCGGTCCATGATGGTAGCTGATGTCAGGTATCACTGAAAGTGCAAAACTCACTAACCTTGGCAAGACAGACTTGTACTTTAGATAAACTCAAACAACCTTCATGCATTAGTACATATTTCAGACCCAAGTTTTTCTCACTCTGTGTAGGGAATGAGTTGCGTACTGTAGACAGCCTGGACTGCAGTAAGCTCTGCAGCTTACACACATTGGAACTGCGAGGGAATCAACTGCAGAGCACAGCTGGACTGAACCTACCCAACTTACGGGAGCTCTATCTGGTGAGGGCACGAATGTAGTGCGAGGGAGAATTTAGCCATGTTGGCTATTCTGGTTTAAAACTCATAATTGGTCATTCCTGGTGTAGAGAATTACCTTGTATGTGTGAATGAATTCTGTATAGAAATCTGGAGTGAACAAACCCTTTATGCATTCAGAATGTGGGTTTGTGTGAATTAATGCTGCATGGGGGGTATGATTGAAAGATGTGCGTTAAGAGTGTATGTGCGTGGATGTGTGAATGAGGAAGATGTGTGGATGGGAATCAGGATTGCATGTGTGAATGAATGTAATATGGGGATTGGGACATTTTTAATGCAATGTATGCATTGGAAATATGTTTCTAATATAACAAAACAGGTCACTGGCTCAGGCAAGAAACAACAGAACACTTAGCTACACGGCAGACTTAAAGTGAAGGAGTCCTTTAACCCCTTAAGGACACATGACGTGTGACATGTCAGGATTCCCTTTTATTCCAGAAGTTTGGTCCTTAAGGGGTTAATTAAAGAAGCTGGTTCTCTAGCTGTAATCCAACCCCAGGATATAGTACTGAAGCCATGTAGCAGCTGGCTGGAGCAGAGTTATGTGATGCATTGCTACTTGGATGTATTGAAAACAACTCATGTTTTCATTTTTGTTAAAAATATACATTATTTCAATATGTTTAGACAGCATATTAGCTTAGCAAATTTCAGAGACAGAGTGTGTTGACACACGTTTTTAACACCTAAATCATCTAACACCTTTCAATCTGGGTTCTGCTTAATCATATGGATATGGAAATTGGCTGTGGGTGTGTGACTAAGGCTTTGTGTGAAGTTCAGCATTTGTGTATGGAAAAAAAGGCTCTGTGTATGAAGGCTGTGTGTGCGTTATTAAAAACTTAGTGTGTATGTGTATGAATGCAGGGCATATTTGTGTGAATGAAAAGTTTCTGAGTGTGCATGAATGATAAACTGTGTGTGTGTAGGAATGAAGCTTATACACAATGTATATTTGATTGTATGAAGGTTGTTAGTGTGTTTGCTTGATGAGGATCGTTGTCTTCCAGGCTCAAAATAATATTAAAAGTTTGGAGGGTCTGGAGTATCTTGTACATCTAACCAGCCTCCACCTTCGAGACAACCAGCTTGAGATTCTGGATGGGTTCTCAGAGAAGATGCAGGCCTTACAGTACCTTAATATCCGGTAAGTGATTAAATCTTAATAGCTACACGTTATTTGCTTACGATGGTAGTCTGTGTAAGAGCTGGTGTAGCACAGAAATTGCCTGGTAATAGGGCCACAAATGTGTATGTATTAATCAAGAAAAGTGTGGTGATACCTTGTATTATTATGAGGCATAGCTTCAGGTCATATCAAGTCTGGGATGGAGTGATGTAGGCAATGCAAATATAACAACCTTTCATGGTGGATGTGGAAGAAGGCAGAGTGGGAGAGAAGACATGAGACGCTTGCTGGGATCTGGACAGCAGGTGTGAATGGATGAGTAACATAGCTTGCACAAACACCTGAGGATGAATGGGGGAAAAAAGAATTATCAAAAACATTGCAGACAATACACAAGACTAAAGTATTTAGTGATACAACTTACACCAATATGAGTACATAAATCATAACAGATAATAGAGCTGGTCAAATATGGCCTCGTAAGTCAGCAAAAACAAGCTCTGTTCAATTTTTTTAAATTAATAGATCATATGATATACGTTTATATTCCAACAGGGTAACTCACCAAAAGTTTAAGACCAAAATAGCCAAATTGAAAATAGATAATTTTTTTCTGATTCAGCTATTTTGCCCTAAAATATGAAAATCTAAATAAACCTGTTAGTGTGTTTAGCCATGCCATGCGTTTCTTCATGCTCAAGTACCATTTTCATCTAATTTGCTTCTGTATATTATCTTTGAAATAAATGAACTTTTCACTAAAATGGAGATCTTGAGAAATTACAATTATCATGGTTCACTAAACCTGAACTGTGAACTGAAATAGGAATTCAAAATTTTAGGTAAAAAATAGCGAAACCGGGAAACTGTCCAACTCCGCAATTTATTGAGCTCTCTAATGTATGTTTCGCTGCGTCTTTCTTTATTCACTCTAACTCTCTCCACCTTCAGGGGTAACTTGGTTAGCAACCTGCTAGAGATCCCCAAGCTGCAGTGTCTCCCGATGCTGCGGGCACTCGTATTACGTGAGAATCCATGTGATGAAGAAGAGGGCTATCGTATGGAGGTCCTCATTGCGCTGCCTAACCTGCAGCGGCTTGATAAGGAATTCTTTGAGGAGGAGGAGAGGATGGAGGCAGCAGAAACATTGAAAACAAGACTGGAGGAGAAGGTAATGAACAGGCAAATTCATGGGGCTGTTTAACTGTTGTACAGTGCTGTGGAATATGTTGGCTTAAAGGAACACTATAGTCACCTAAATTACTTTAGCTAAATAAAGCAGTTTTAGTGTATAGATCATTCCCCTGCAATTTCACTGCTCAATTCACTGTCATTTAGCCACACCTCCCATGATTGACAGAGCCTGCATGAAACAAAAAACTGGTTTCACTTTCAAACAGATGTAATTTACCTTAAATAATTGTATCTCAATCTCTAAATTGAACTTTAATCACATACAGGAGGCTCTTGCAGGGTCTAGCAAGCTATTAACATAGCAGGGGATAAGAAAATCTTAATTAAACAGAACTTGCAATAAAGAAAGCCTAAATAGGGCTCTCTTTACAGGAAGTGTTTATGTAAGGCTGTGCAAGTCACATGCAGGGAGGTGTGACTAGGGTTCATAAACAAAGGGATTTAACTCCTAAATGGCAGAGGATTGAGCAGTGAGGCTGCAGGGGCATGTTCTAAACACCAAAACTGCTTCATTACGTTAAAGTTGTTCAGGTGACTATAGTGTCCCTTTAATATAAACCAGCTGCAATTATGTGCATGTAAATTAGTAGGTTATTCTTATGTATATATAACATTTGAGATGAACATTAAAACCGCAGTAGAAAGAGACAGACTGGCTGATTGAGAGTATAAATGTGTAAAAAGGTTCAGCTGCATGTTTGCTGTCACAGAGCACTGGCTATAAGCATAAAGTTAAGAAGGTACGACTGTATGCATATGGGATAGTAGGTGAACTGGTTATCCATAAAGGTGCTGGGAGCATGCGGCTGTGTGATAGCAGATTTGGTGGATGACTAGCTGCGTGCATACCAGCACAGTGAACTGACTGCATGGTCACAAGTACAGAGCAAATTGGCTACATTTAACAAATGTAAAGGAGAACTGGATATCTCCTAAAAGCTGGATGGACATAATGCTGTGTGTTTACAGGTGCAGAGGAGGGATTGTCTGTGTGTGCTCACAGAATGGATATGTGTGCGTGTGTCGTTATATGTACTATATTTATTGCTTACCTCCTCATTATGTCACTATACTGTGATTTGTATTACAGATGGAAGAATCAATGACAGAATAAAGCTGGACTTAGATCTCACAGAAAGGAGTGGTTTATGCAACCACACATTAAACGTCTTGCATAAGTGAGATTCTGACAATCTCTGGCACAAGAAGAGTTAATTCGGAGAAGCTGGTCAGGTCACTGACAGTACAAGACAGGAGATGTTAAAAGTGAAATTTCTATCCAGTGAACAGTGTGTGTGTCTCAGTGGAAAACCATCTCGACCACAGAGCTTACAATCTTAATTATACAATACTCTGTCCCACAGAGCTTATAATCTATTTATAGGAGATCCTATTCCACTGAGCTTACATTCCACTTATAGGAGACTCGTTCCCACTCAGATTACATACTAGAACAAAATGTGAGATTGAATACTACAGAGCTAACACTTCAGCATGCAATGGGAAACCTCAGGCCACAGAGCTTACACCCTAGTGATAGAATTGGTGTCTTCCCCCAAAGAGCTTCATTTCAAAGTGCCAATGCAACAATATATTGGTTTTCCCAATTAATGTCAAATGTCAATGTGCCAAGAAGAATCTGGAAGATTGTGTTAAACACCACCTCGCTGCAGCCACTTCCTGTACTTGTGAGAGCTCACTGAAGAAGCTGCAAACCCTCCATGTGAAAAGATTAATTATCCATGAGGGCATATATTCTCAACCTATGATTGTTGTATTTAATTGTTACAAATAGTCCACATCAAGGTTGCTGTGACCCATTAGGTAAGTTTTATGGTCTGTCATATTACTGTGAAAGATATATTATACCATAAATCGTTCGCACATATTAAACCAAGAGTTTCTCCTTTCCAATGTTGTCATTAAGTTTTACCACGTAGCCAGTAATTGCTTAAAGGACCACTATAGTACCAGGAAAACATACTTGTTTTCCTGGCTCTATAGGTCCCCCCTCCCGCCGGGCTCTAGGGGGTGGAAGGGGTTAAATTTACCTCTTTCTCCAGCGCCGGGCGGGGGACTCTCCTCCTCCTTCTCGTCATCGGCTGAATGCGCATGCACGGCATGCCATTTAGGAGTAGAGTGACTTTTGTTTATGCAGCCCTAGCCACACCTCCTCTGACTGAGACTCACACAGCCTGCATGAAAAAATAGTTTAATTTTTCAATCAGATGTTAACTTGCTTTAGGTGTTTTTATGCCCTGCACTGTAACTTGAACTTTAATCACACATGTGACTCCAGCTGGGTCAAGAAGGCTATTAACAGAGAAGTAAATCCAAAATTCTAAATTAAACAAACTGCACAATAAAGGAAGTTTAAACAGTAGATGTTTCTTTACAGGAAATGTTTAGGAAAGCAGGGCAAGTCACATACAGGGAGGTGTGACTAGGGCTGCATAAACAAAGTGATTTCACTCCTAAATGGCAAATAATTGAGCAGTGAAATTGCAAGGGCATGATCTGTGCACCAAAACTGCTTCATTAAACTAAAGTTGTTTTGGTGCCTATAGTGTCCCTTTTACACATTTATACACACAGAATAACAGCTATTTAAACACCACCCCACATGGGCAAAGCTATATAAAACCAACCACAAACACTCCAAATAGTACTGATATATAAAAACAAGCATATAAGCAGAAGTGTACATATTTATAAACAATTACACATATACACTCAGACTATATTTATAAACAGAAACACATATAAACTGACAAATATAGTCATTAACGTACAGTAATACAGTTATACAAAACATCTCCTGGTCAGGTAGTTACTTATAGAGACAATAAAAATACTCAGTCATTCACTGTAAATTGTCTGGAATTCAGAGTGAATTAATTTTTAGGCCAAAATAGGCAAACTGAAAACACAGCTGATCTGGAGATTTTTTTTTTCTTCCAATTTACCTATTTTGGCCTAAAATTTGAAATTGACTTTGTAAATAACTCTGATGATAGAGAAATTCCCCATTATCCTCCCTAAAAAGTCATATTACAGAGCTTCAAAGAGTAATATTGTAACTTCTGGAAGGTATGTGAGTGTGTGTATGAGTGTCTGTCTGTGTGTGTGTGTGTGTGTGTGTGTGTCTCTCTGTCAGTCAGTGAGTGTTTGTGTCTGTCAATTAGTGTGTGTGTGTCAGCGAGTGTATGGATGTGTGTCTGTCAGTGTGTGTGTCTTTCTACCAGTGAGTGTATATGTTTAGTTGGCCTGGGAAAGGTGTTTTTACTCACCCACTTTTCCCATGCTGTGCTGTTATCACCACAGCTGGCCTCACCTCCATGGCTGAGCTTATCAAACTTG